AAATTTGGTGACCACTGTGGTCTGCTTACTTTCGACCCTCCCTCCCCTCCTTACACCTCCAATTTTTATTCTTTCATTCATTTGGTACTGTTCACTCTGTACCTCTAATTTCTAATTCTTACAAGTTCAATGACATCATTTTGATAAGTGACTATTGGCATGTTGGGCCTAATCTGCATTGCAGGAAGAATTGAGAGCATTTTGATAATGAAAAATGAGTGTTGGGTTTATTTTTGTCTTATTTGTATTGTGGAAGCCTTGTTGGGTTAGAAAAATAGGCCTAAATATCATTACTTTTTTTTTCTCTCTAAAGTTGGAATTTCAAAAGTGTTGGCTATTTCAAATTATAATAAACCGTGGATTGTGAATCTCAACTCTAATTTGCCTGAATCTAACATACAAGATTTCAGTCTATGTTTCTAAAAAACAAAAATGTTATGGTAAACGGTACAAGTATATTCGAGAGACACCTTTAATATTTGTGCGTATAAGTGTTCTATTTTGCAATTAAATTTTTCTTTTGATTTAAATTATAAAATTATGCTTTTTCATAAAATAAAAAATCTATAATCGATAACCATAAATTTTGTCATAATTGATTTTTTTGAGAGCAAATGGAACAACAGATCATGTTTGTTATTCTAACTAGTAAAATATTATAATTTAGCGGTATCAAATGGTCAGATTTTTTCTCCCGTTGATTGAATTGAGGGTTCACGTGGTGCATAACCTAACCTTTACTTGTTGACATGTTGTTGAAAGATGAGAGTAAAGGGAATATAAGCTAAACTTTTTGACATGTAGTTAGAGAAACAATTAGGGAAAAATGAGGACCAAATTTACCGTACTCACACTTTGAGTAATAAAGAAACAAACTGGTGGCATATATACATACAGTGTGAGAGGGGGAAAAAAATATCTGCTACAAGTGAAGATGGGCCATGAAAAAGAATCAACATTTTTTTATGAGCTGTCAAGTAGTGGTGTTGCGCGTGTTTTTAACTATATTAATGAATTATTGGGGTCAAATTCAACCATTAAATTAACACCTTTCAGGAGCGCGTGATTGTTGTGAAATAGAGTAGTGGTTTATAATAAAGTGATATATTTTGTAGCACTTGCTTTGTCTTGGTCCTCCGGTTGGCAAGACAACCAACACCGTCAGATACACTGTAATTGTCATTCATTCATCCACCTAATGGACCCTTCCCTCTTAAGTTCCTAACAATGAAAATGACCTTTTTATTAAGAAAAACGATATACATCACAAATTATTGTATCACCAAAATAAAATTGAATTACATGACAGATGATTTGATAATTTTGTGACAATTTAACTTTGTATATTTTAAAAACGATTTTGTCCGAAATATAAATGATAAGATTGAGAGAAAAAAAAATTTAACAAATTATTTATAGTAAAATTTGAACCCAACATAACTCTTTGATATATGTTTTTTACGAGCTAATATAATCTGTTGAATAAAAATCCTAATTTTTTTCAATCAATTTTTAAGGGTGAGTAATTAGATAAATACATAATTCACTTAAAATTTCTTAAAATTATATTTTAAGTCATTTTTCTTTTTAAGAACCTTAATTTTCTCAACTATCTACATATGTGAATAGTTTAATAAATAGATAATCAACCTCATGTTATTACAACTATAAAGTCCATAAGGCAATAGAGAATATATATGTATATATATAATAAAAATAAAAGTAGAGAGAGGGACTTAATTTAATGTTGGTTCCCAGTGGTTAATTCACACAAATGCCAAAGTGTGTATATATATGCGCCCGTGTGTGTGAGAGATCATAATCATCCGCGGCTGATCTTTGAATTTGTTTGCTTTCTTAATTTAATTATAAATTAAATATGTCAATACTCAATCAAAAGAGAAAAAAAAAAGTGTAATATCTATTAAAATTGAAGACATATTCACCTTTTAATTAATGTCATGTTATATTCAAAATATAATCTCAAATTTTGTTGGAGACGTGTAGCATTACTCTTTTATTAATATTGGTCAACAGTTTGTTTATTACATTTAGCCTTCTTAGTACAAAAAATATATATATTTTTATAATAAAAAAAATTTCCCTTTTTGTACAATGAATTACTCATATCAACTTGGAATGCATCTGTTTAAGGTCACATGAAACCACTAATCTCTTTGGGTACCAGCAATTACTTTTTGATTAAAATATCAGATAAATAAGTGGAGGTTTGACTTTTCGCAAGACACCACTAAAAGACATCTGAATGCGACTCATAGGTTTTGTGGCTGATAATTTCAAATATTATTTGTGGTTCCAAAATCAAAATATATATATATATATATTTTTTTTTTAAAAATGCCCTTTTTGTACAATGAATTACTCGTTTCAACTTGGAATGCATCTGTTTAAGGTCACATGAAACCACTTATCTTTTTGGGTACCAGCAATGACCTTTGGATTAAAATATTAGATAATTAAGTAGGGGTTTGATTTTTCGCAAGACACCACTACAAGACATCTGAACGTGACTCATAGGTTTTGTGGCTGATAATTTAAAATATTATTTGTGGTTCCAAAATCAAATTGACCACCACCTGCAACAATCTTCTTGGGTGGATATTTTTTTGGCAATGCATTGTGAGCCTCAAGTCCAGATACAATGTTTACTGTTGGACTAGCTCCTTGAGCACGCGCGCGCACACATTCACACAAATGTGTGTGGTCTAAGAGGGGCACAAGCTTAGTGCAAGAGGAAAATTGCATAAATAAATAAGTTCTGGCCATTAATATACCTTAAAATACTTCTTGAACTGTGATATTTTTTTCTCTAAAATGTGAAATCAAGCTTGATTGTTGAAAAACCATTAAGAATCATTCTTGCACGTAAGGATGGCAACGAGACGGATTTGGGCGGGCGTACCCTCTTTTATTTTCGTAACTGTTTAAAAACTATACCCTTGTTTTCACTTAAAATCGTAAAAAAGGAGAATTTTCACTCCATTCTTGCCCCGTTTAAGACCATAAATTCTTCTTCATTAAATTTTTTTTTATCAACTAAATTTATATAATTATTGAAAAGATCCATAAAAAAATGGATAATAAATAGTTATAACATAAAATTCAATATTAAAAACATTTTAAGTAATCGCACAAGCTACTTATTCCAAATTTTCAAATTTTGTTACAAAACAAACTGCCTTAATATACATACTAATAAAATATTATATTAATAAAATAAGGGTACTAATGCGAAATATATATACTAATAAAATAAAGGTATTTAAATAAGAATTCGTGCGAATTTTTATTACATCAAATTATTCCCGCTTAAATAAGTTAAACTATTTTCCAAAATCGTTAAAAACAGAACAAAATGGGACGGGTATCCACGTGAGCGGGGCAAATTGTCATCCCCACGTGGCTAGAATGGTTTGACGCGTTGACTTGTAATTTGCTCATGCCTAAATGGTACACCGCTGGTTTTACGATGTTTAGTCTGCTCCTTTACTCTTCATACATAGCAAGCTATTTTTCTCTTGGACCAGTGTGCATGTCTTTTTCCTAAATTGTGAATCAATTACAATCACACATTCACTCAGTTGAATTGCTTTCATGAAATGAAATTGGTGAGACCATGCAACCCTCCTCGAATTTTTGTATAATAATGTACGAATAGACATATATATATTTTTAACGAATAACAATAATAATAATTCTCATTCTTGAATTGGTTATTTGTGTGATGGAGAATAAAATAAAAAAGAGAGAGAGAGAATCTAAAAATTTTAATTGAATATTGATGTCCAGTTTCTTTTTCACGCCAAATAATATTGAAGCCATCTCATCTAGGTATTGAGAGAAAAGAAAAAAGACTGGAGATAGATCAAATATTTGATATATATATATATATATATATATATATATAAGACTGGAGATAGATCAAATATTTGATATATATATATATATATATATACAAAAATTGTTCTCCTATTCGAACTTGTCACTTTAGGTGTCTAGTCCAAGATACTATCTTTGCATACTGAATAAAAATGGGGCAGCCAAAAGTTAATATATGCATAAATTGATCTTTGCATGAATGTGATTCTGTGGATAGTAAGATATATGTAGACAAAATAAAAATTAATATATTCATCAAATGAAAAAAATATTACAGTAACTTTTAAGAGATTTGAATTTTTTACCCAATCCTGTTTAATTGGTGCCCACCCTTTCACTCTCAATTATCTCTTTATATCTTCATTTTAAAACAAATAAACAAAGTAGAGTATTCTCCTATGTTCTTCTTATCTCTCTAATTCACTCAATCCAAATGAGGTGCAAATGAAAATTATCTTCCATGGAAGTTGTAAAAAGTAATTTTCTTATTTTGATCACTAAAAAGAATTTATATTTTCAGTAAGTTAAATAATAATAATAAACATCCTCCAGAATACGAACGGTTCAGAAATAATCCCCAATTAAAAATTATTAAAACTGACCACTTGTACTACAAATGGGCTGGGTCGTTGTCATAAGCTTTTGCCATTTTCCTATGAGTACTATATTACATTGGACCCACAACAGGTTCAACCAGAAGTGAATATAAACCGTTGAATTCAGGACCCAAAGCTCGCAACTCGCACAAAAGACCTCAAATTTCCAGCATATTCCCACTGATGCCATTGGCCCCACCACTTCACGTGAAATCGGGCCCACCGAAACGTTTATTGAGGTCAATGATAAATGATACTAGAATAATACATAACAACTCTCGTCCTGCCACGTGTCGTCTCACGGTAAGCGAGGCAACGCACTACAAACTGAGTGAGACTCCTCGATCACCCTCACGAACCAGCACCGTTCACTCTCAACTCCACTACTCTCCAGTCTCCAGCGAACTCAATCACACTCCACACTACCTGAAGATCTTTCCTGTAAGCACTCTCTCTCTCTCTCTCTCTCTATATATACACATACATTTCCGTGTGTATATATATTTATATACACGATTAATTATAACTACTTTTGAGAGATTTTCTCATTTCGGATTCTGATACATATATCTGAATGCATTATCGCAACTAATTTTTGAAATATTTTCTCAATCGGATTTACTGATAACGTTTGATTTCAAATTTCTGGCTTCAATAAAAGGATATTTTGATGCTATTTGATGATCGTTAGGCTTTCTGTGCTGTCTATTCCCCGTCTGGTATTATATACTTCACTTCCTTTTTTTTTAATTACTTGTATTATTTGTATAACTATTTCCTGGAAGCAAATTGATCATGTTATGACTTCCATATGAGTTTTACTAGTTGTGGTCGGTAGTTTACTATGTTGTTGCCTTATCGTATAGACTGCTTTTCAGCTTCGGCCTGTTTTTGCTTTTCTCTTGCTTTATGCTTAAATCTGTTGTTGAAAACAAAGTTAAAAAGTAATTAATTGTACTGGTACATGTAAAGTTTGTAAATGAAATCATTAGACAGAGGCAATTAATCTTGTATGTATCTGGATTACATAATTTAAATGAAATATATGCATACATATATGTGTGTGTGTTTGTGTGTGTATAATATTTTTGTTAAAAAGTCTTTTCCAAGCTAGTTGTGGGAAGAAAAAATACTTAAATAAGCCCTAACCTTGCAATGTTTAAAGATCTTGCTTACACTGATTTGAGCTTAAAATTTTGTTTGATGACCCAAAAAAACAATTTTTGAAAAATAGGCAAAATAGTATAATTCATTGATTACCAAAATTGAGTTCGCATTTGTGCCTTTTACTGTTTGCACCTCAGCTTTTTGGTGGTGGTTGTTCTTGAATGATGTAACTTTCAAAATGTATGGTTGATGAAGTACGTTTTCAAGGAAGTACTAGTTAACTTTGTTTTAAAAAAAGAATCTTTTACTCTTAGGGCAATTGTGTTACACCTGAATTCGCATTTTGGTGCCAATCAGCTTTTATCTATAATCACGGGGAGAATATTCTAGAGTAAAAATACAGTTTAGGATAAATATTATAATTACATTCCAGAGATGTGGATGAGTGAATTAGTTCATCTTCCACTCAAAATGCATGTGCATATATTAACTGTTTTGGAATTTCATTTCAGAATAAGGATTCTATCAATGGCAACCGTTACAGCTTCGCACTTTTTATCAACAAGCTCACATGTCAACAGTGGAGGAAGTTTGGGTTCAGAAACTAAAACAACCTTGGCCCAGATTGGCCTAAAGAATCAAACACACAGTGGGCTAAGATGTTTTAACAAGGTGGATATGCTACAAGTGAGTGCCAAAGCAAAAGCATCTTACAGGCAAGTTCAAAGAAAGTTGCCAAAAGCTGTGATTGACAGGCCATCAGGAGTCATAGTATGTGGTAGTGGGATGAAGTTGGTGTATGTCGGGGTTGAGATGGGTCCATGGAGCAAAACTGGTGGACTTGGTGATGTTCTTGGTGGATTGCCACCAGCCATGGCAGTAAGGATTAATATTCAGTTTTGTAATTTTAATCTTTACTTCCTTGCTTGATTTGTAAATGTAACCGAATGATGTGCTCTGCTTGATTTGGCTATTTTTTACTAATCTACATGCCTGATACTTGTTCAGGCCAATGGGCACCAAGTTATGGTAGTGGCTCCACGCCACGATCAATACAAAGATGCATGGGATACTAGCGTATTTGTTGAGGTAGACTCTTGAAGTAGCCATATATTTTTGGGTGATCCTACTTTATTTTCAAATTTCTTATTCCAGTCAAGAGCTGTGCTTGGGATTTTTTGCACTAAATATGGCTTCAATATTGCAGATTAAACTTGGAGATAGAATTGAAACCGTGAGATATTTCCATTGCTACAAACGTGGAGTTGATCGTGTTTTTGTGGATCATCCAATGTTCCTGGAGAAGGTGATTATTTTTTTTTCTTCCCAAATATCTATTCTTGGGTTTAAAGGGCAAAAACAATACGCATGTATATGTTGAATATCTTTGGAACCTGTGGGTTCAACTTGGTCTGCTGATGGTTCAAATTCTGAACTTCTTAAGGTGTGGGGAAAAACTGAATCGAAGATTTATGGCCCTAAAACTGGAGATGACTACAAAGACAACCAATTTCGATTTGCCTTGTTTTGCCTGGTAAGTTGACTGTATTTCCCTGTAATTTCATATACAAATTTTATCTTCTAAACTCTCCAAGGAATTAGAAATGACAGAGCATGATTACCTTGGAAAATAGTTAATGAGGTTTATTGCTTATGATGTTACAAAGTAATATCCTATGCAACAGGGGGCATCAATGCAATGTTTGATCAAAGTGTACATAATATAATCCATTCCTTTTTAGAGTTTGTACATAATGCTGTGGGTTAAATGTATGTAAATTTTCATGATATCAAGGAGAATAAGTAGAAAAGGTTATTCCTATTTTATTGTTGAGCGGCAGAACATCTTGCTAAATATAACAAATTGCTCGCTAAAATATTTATTTATTTATTTAGCTGTATTATATCAATATCCATCCAGAGAATTTTTTTCTTATTCTCATTCACTGATTACTTGTGGTGCTTAATAATATTCTTGTAGCTGATCATTTCCAGTTCTGCACCATTTCATATAAAGCTCATATTCAAATTTGTTGATTTCAGGCTGCTCTTGAGGCTCCCAGGGTTCTGAATTTGAGCAACAGTAAATATTTCTCTGGGCCATATGGTATGCACCTTTTTCTGAGGGCTTTACAAGTTTTACTTGCATGTTATGTGAAGAATTACATTGTTGTGTGTATCTGATTTTCTCTATTCAAGGGGAGGATGTTATCTTCGTTGCCAACGATTGGCATACAGCTCTTCTTCCTTGCTACCTAAAATCCGTGTACCAATCTAGGGGGATCTACAAAAATGCTAAGGTAATATATCCGTCAATTTTATTTCTGAGCACTTAATTTCTGAATTTTTGCCAACTCGGAGGGGCCTTTCCTTGGGATGTGATGATGTACTTCATGAATGATGCCAGGTTGCTTTCTGCATTCACAACATTTCCTACCAAGGCAGATTTCCCTTTTCAGACTTCTCGCTTCTCAGTCTGCCTGATCAATTTAAGAGCTCGTTTGATTTTTTTGATGGGTAAGAATTATTTAATAATTTGAACTTCAATTAAAGAATATTTTTGGCCTCTAATGGATTTTCCAAGTAATAAGAATTTCATAAACACTTGTTCTTGTCAAGTTACGCAAATCTTTTGACGTTGCAGATACGAGAAACCGATTAAGGGAAGGAAAATTAACTGGATGAAAGCTGGAATATTAGAATCTCACAGAGTCCTAACTGTGAGCCCACACTATGCCCAAGAACTTGTTTCTGGCGAAGCAAAAGGTGTTGAATTGGATGGCATCATTCGTAAGGCCGGGATAACTGGTATTGTGAATGGCATGGATGTCCAGGAATGGAACCCTTCCACTGACAAGTACATTGATGTCAAATATGATGCAACAACCGTAAGCTTTTCTAAATCTGTTTTCCCTGTTCTTTTATTCCATCAGTTCCTAAATTTCTGGACTAAGCCTATGTTTATTGCACTTTCAGGTTATGGACGCGAAGCCTCTATTGAAGGAAGCTCTTCAAGCGGAAGTTGGGTTGCCTGTCGACAGGAATATCCCCCTCATTGGTTTCATTGGTAGACTAGAAGAACAGAAAGGCTCAGATATTCTGGCAGCGGCCATTCCTGAATTTATTGGAGAGAATGTTCAGATAATAGTCCTTGTAAGTATTAGATGAAATCTCTATTTAGCTCTGATATCTAGTACAGCAAAAGGCAAGGAATTTAAAATGACGTCGAGATCTGCTATACAGGGAACTGGGAAAAAGCATATGGAGAAGCAGCTTGAAATGCTCGAGATTATGTATCCTGATAAGGCTAGAGGGGTGGCGAAATTCAATGTCCCCTTGGCCCACATGATTATTGCTGCTTCTGATTTTATTTTGCTCCCGAGTAGATTTGAACCTTGTGGTCTCATTCAGTTGCACGCGATGAGATATGGAACGGTAAGGACGTTCAATTTTCTTGTTATCCTTGGTTGTCTGCTACTCTGGTACTAGATGACTTTTTGCATAGCTATTTTCTTGAATTAGTTGTCAGTTATTCTTATGGCACTAAATGTACTTCGGAGCAGGTGCCCATTGTTGCATCAACTGGTGGTCTGGTGGACACCGTCAAAGATGGTTATACTGGATTCCAAATGGGAGCTTTCAGCGTTGATGTGAGTATCTGAATCTCCATCATCATGTCTCATGAGTTTGATTTCCATTTTAATACCTATTCTTATTATTATGTTTATAAAATGATTAATCATTTCATTGTCTGTATTCAGTGTGAAGCTATCGACCCAGCTGATGTAACTGCAATATCAACCACAGTCAGGAGAGCACTTGCAACCTGTGATACCCCTGCCTTGACAGAGATGATCCAGAATTGCATGGCGCAAGAGCTCTCCTGGAAGGTTCGTGTGGTGCTTTTACCTTTTATCCAAAGTTGGAATTTAGGACAATAGTTTTTGCACAATTCATGACACTGTAAAAAATAAATCAGTGAAAATTTTCCTCATCTGTATGGGTCAATTGGTTGTGATGCAGCAACCCGCCAAGAACTGGGAGAAGGTGCTGTTGAGTTTGGACGTAGCTGGCAGTGAAGCTGGAATGGAAGGGGAGGAGATCGCTCCACTTTCGAAAGAAAACGTTGCCACTCCCTGAAGCCTGTAATATATTCAGCTGGCTTCTACCTCGAGCTCTACAAGTACACCAACGTATCAAGTGAATTACCATGACATTTGGCAGTTGTCGTGATCTGCAAAGACTACTGATGGGAGAACTCTGGATTTTTTTTTTGAAGATGTGTTTTTTTGTGGGTGAATGTTCTTGTAGGTGTGAGGTATGGTACTACTGGTGGTAACTAACAAATGCGGGCTTTGTTATAAAGGACTAGGACATAATTTCCTTCAATCATTATGTACATATAAATAAAATTCATGAAGGCTTTTTATTAGGAGCTTTAATTCCTCTAGCATTGTTGCATCTTTTTATTGCGCTAAAGTACTAATACCAAAGGACATAGTTTCCTTCAAAATTGAAAGGTCAGGAGCTTTTCTAACTACAGCACGGTTGCATCTTTTAATGCGTTAAAATACTCTATATCTGGAATTTACTGTAAGAAAACTTATGAGACTGTGAGAACAATAAATTTGTTTAGAGAGAGAAGGCTTGTGCTTTTTGAAATATATTGTGCTTATTGTTTGTTCCAATTGTTCAAGGTAACTTTTGGACATTAAAAACAGATTGAATTGTGATTATTTGCAATAAAGTGATTACTCTCAAGTCTCAATAATTGACAATTTCATGTTTTACTCTTGCACCAAACAAAGACTCTCTTAATCCGTGGAAAATGATACAATTGACGACTTTAATTTGCTCAAAACCAGCTAACATTAAATGTGACTATCATAAGCATCATCTTTCCTTTTCTTTTTCGTTTCCATTCCTTATCTCCATTAAGGAACAATAATCAAGAATTGAACAACCAAGGTTTCATGATTTGATATCAATATATTCCTCTATAAATGACTGATTTTGTTTAGACTCCTCTTTTCTTTCATTTTTCTCTCCATCCCAGCTTCATATATTATTGGGTTATGCCTTTTAAAACTAAAAAAACCAAAAAAGGGATGTCGTACTCAGGGACCGGGAAGGGTAAAGAACTGAAGTAGGCAGCGACAGCTATTTAACGTAGGCAGTGAATTGACCTTTGCGGTGAATGGAGATGGAAGAGTTTTAGAGTTTGTATATTTTAATTTTAAAATGGGTTCCTTTGACAACTTAGGTAGGAGTCGGTATTTAGTTGGTTTTTTCTAGTCGGAAAATAATGACAATATGCACCTGAAAGAAAACATGACCCATGTATCTGACACACAGCAAGAGCCTGTGAAGAATAGTAGGTAGGAAGAACTCTTAAATATAATCACAAAAGCTAACATTGCAATCATTTTCTATGCTGTTGTCTTTATCTATTTGGAGAGCTAAAACAGAATCAAACAAAATAAGGCTAGGCTAGAATTTTCTAAGTTGTAAGCTGTCCTTCACAGTTAAAAATAAAATGTAATTTTCTTGGTCTGTGCAAGAGAAACACCCAAAAACTGAAATTCTCCAGCACAAACAAAAACAAGAGCTACAAAGCTCCCTCCTATACGAACACGACATACAAACCTTCAATTTCATACTCAAACCAACAAATCTTCATGCATGAAGGCAGACAAACACATACTAATTTCTTCATAACCTTCAATTCATACTCCAACAAACAAATCTTCATGCATGAAGGTAGACAAACACAACATACTAATCCTCTCTTCCGTCTATAACTCTGCAAATTATTCAGGTCAATGAAGTCTATATTTAGAATAAAATCTGGTAAACAACCTACTACAATAAAACTCTATTTTCTTATCCTAGTCTAAGCTTTCATTCTTCTGATTTCATAACAAAACCAATCATCTAACCCCAATTTTGGGTTTCCAGAACTCAATGTACATGCACCGACCTTGTATGAACGCATTTTGTGTTTCTAGCATCTGACATATACCATCGGTTGGCCTCATAGAAATTAGGCATCCATCAGTCAATCATTTGACTACTACAACGAACGCATGCAAATTCAACTATGATTCAAGTAATGTTCTATGTGACAGATGGTCTCATGGCTTTCACCTTCAATGCTATCAACAATAGTTCCACATGTAGAACTTCCTAAAACATACATGTAATGCCAAACCACAGCAGTATATGATACAATAATATTTATAATAAACCAAATAATAAGAAAACATGGTAACTCAAATTTAGGGTATGGACTAACATCGGATTATTCATTAGAATTCTCAAGCTGGGTATCAACTATCAAGTTCACAAAGCAAAAGGATATTTCATGAATGTAAGCAAAGACAACAAAGCATCTGCAAATTTCATCTGAGATTCGTTGGAACACCAATTACATCATAACACCAAAGATGAACATTTTTAAAACTTAAATGACTGCCTTTTTCACATCATGAAAACGAACCTAACAAGCAAATAAAAGCATAAACATCAAGGCATATGAGCACGGTCAATCACATATTAAACCCTTAATATCAACAGTCAATTTTTTGCCTCCATTACTAACACTGAGAAACCATACCACAAAAAAGACATCACCTCAGCGTCTAAACTTTTGAGTCATCATTAAGTGCAGCATCAAGAATTAACTTAACTAGAAAATAACCCAGTGCAACTGTACCTCTGTGCCCTAAACATGCAAAACAGAATCCATAACTAAACAAGTTCCTAATCAAATAAGTTGAATCCAAATTCTTCATCACTCTCTTCCTTTGGTTCTTCTTCCTGCAATATTTTATAAACAAAAGGTAATCAGAAATGTGAAACTAACAAACAAGATTGTGATCCAAACACTTTGGCATTAGAATCTACCTTCTTCTCCTCGGCAGCAGGGGCCACAGCAGCAGGGGCAGCAGGTGCAGCAGCAGGGGCAGCACAACCCGAACCAACATTCATGATGAGATCAGCAATGCTCTTCTTCTCCACAAGCTTAGCAAATAAACTCGGCCAGTACGACTCAACGCTCACATTGGCTGCTTTCACCATGGTAGCAATCTTCTCAGCCTGATTTACACCAATCACAGAAACCCTAGATTCTCAACACAATGTCTGTATATATATATATGTATATATAATCTCCATACTTTATATAATCTACCCAAAAAAAACAACCAATTTCAACAGCAATTTGATTAAAAACAAAAAAAACAAACAAAGTCGAACAAAAGAAATACATACAAAAAGCATATTATAGATTATTATGCCAAACAAATACAACTCTACAGAATAGGTTCATAAATTTACAATCTACCCAAACAAAATACATAATAATAATAGTATAATTTCAACAGAAATTTGGTAAAAGCAAACGAGATTTATACCGTGACGGGAATGCCGTCGTCGTGAAGGGCCAAACAAGCGTAAGTGCAAGCGAGCTGTCCGGCAGACATTGTATCAGATGAAACTTTTGCTGATCTACTAGTATTCAAAACAGAATGAAGATTATGAAACAAACAGTCAGGTCTTGAAGACATGGTAACAGATAGACACTATAGGCGTTCCATTGCAAAACAATACATATAATATACGAAACAATACATAAAACTGAGAGAATTCCAATGCTTACAGATCTCGTGTAAGAGATGGAAGTTGCTTTTGCTTTTCTTTGCCTCTCCAAAACAAAATTAGGGTTTAAGGCGTGACTTATATTTATAAGCGTTTGGGACCCTGGCCGATTCCAAACGGAAAGAATGCGTTTGGGACCCAGTACGATACCAACACGAAAAAGCAAAGGATGTGTTTGGAACAAATTGGCATTTGTATTAGTAGTGGGCCAAAGAATCCGTTAATTTGATCCGGATCCGTGCAGATGGGACTGAATTGCTATACTCATGGATCACTAACATCTGTAATTCACGAATTAAATCATGAATTAGATTATTAATTAAAAATTTATTTACTGGATTATGGTTAAAAAATGAATAATATTAAACAAATTTTGTATTAATATCTGAAACTATTTGTAATTTTTGACCCGTATACTTTCTTGACCTCTGTGTGATTAACGGATTATGCAATTTTATGCGACACAATCCATTAACAATTTTTACCCCAAAGTGAACACCAAATTTCTCCTTGTTATAAAAAATACAATATCTATTCTATCCCATATATCAACCTAAGCTCCACTCAATTGAAAATATAAATCACTTGACGTTTAAATTATTTATTTTTTTAAAACTGATCAGAGGATTCAGTGGTTTTATTTTCTGCTGTCATGTAACAATTACTAGTATTTTATTAGTGACGTAGCACAATATTATTTGGTGGATCAGCATGGAAGAACGAACCTAATAGAAATTGGTGTAGGTAGGTCGAGATACGACTTACTATTAGACCAAAGTAAGAAGCCTGATAAGGTCAAAACTTGACGACAGATTAGTTGAAAATTGAAACAGCATGAAACAAGATTGCACCCCAATCACGTAACTTTTGTTGCCCATTCCCAATCCAACGACTGGTATTAATTTCGTATGTGCCACGTCTCTCTCTGTACCTTTGCGGCTTCTAACCCTGAAAACAAATATATATCCCACCGACTGATTAGGACCAAAATGATTCAATGGAATAAACACCATATACTATAGTAATATGTAGAGCAAAGAAGATATGATAATATAAAAAGAATGTAATGACACAAAAGATCTTCTCCGTCAAGAATGTTGTGTGACCCATGTGAAATTTGTCATTGTCTCTCCGAGCAACCCCACTGCACTGCATCGACCGATGTAAATAGTTTTTTATAGTTGGGTAGGAGGGATATTTAGTGCAGGGCAGGGATTTCATCTTAAGGGGAGCACGGTATATTTTATTAAAAAAAAAAAAAAAAAAAAAGATAAATAAGAAAAAAAATATATTAAAAAAATATGCTAATGAAAGAGTCGTATAATTTGTATAAAAAAAATAATAAATGTGTGACAAATATAAAAACCAAAATATTGATAGAAGAGCCTCCCTTGCACTTTTGATGTAATTTTTTTGCATGTATATTTTTTTGCATTTATTTTAGAATTTAGTTTCATTACTGACAAATATTTACCCATTTTTCGTTAATGAATTTCATTATTACTGTAGTAAAATAAGACAATGTTGTTTTAATTAGTGGGTGATGAAACATTTTTGCCGGTTGGATTTGCACATTGGAGTATCACGGTATACTAAATAGGATTTTGATTCTTGAGATTAGGGTTGTAAATCAACCAAAGTGTACGTTTACGAAGAGCTAGGGATTGACTCATTTAAAAATTGACCTGCACTCATTCATTAAGGAAAACGAGCTCGACTTTTTAGCTCGTTTGGTAAACTCATCAATCCCGACCATTGCTAGGCTCCGCTTTTGTATAATCGTGAATACTAAGTTCATATAGGCTTGTACGTGTATTCATGAATGTAGACTTGTAAACATATTTATAAAATTATAAATGTCAACTTTTGTAGACTCATGTAGGTTCATGAATATAAGTTTTTTAGGCTCGTTTAATTTTATGAACAAGACAACAAATATTTTGAACATAAGTTCACAACGAGCTCAAACATGAATATGATATCGAGATTGTCTTTTTTATTATTATTAAATGAGTCAAGCCAATCCCATATGAACTATAATTTTTTAAAATAACGATGAGTCGAGTTTGAGCTAAATTCACAAATGAACGTTCCAATTTAAGGCTAAACTCAATTTGACTTGGTTTATTTGAGGTCGGACTTGAGACTAATTTCCTTGTACATGTTTATATGAAGGAAAAAAATAAAATCCTAATGAAGGTTTACAACCTGTTGAAAGGATCAATTTCTTAGCTAGTCTGACTTGTTCCACTTGATCAAGGATATGTGATCAAAGTTGCACAATACTCAAAAGATATATAATCAAAGTTCTCACAATTTCTTAGCTAACCGGAATGCTAGATTTGAGCTTAGGGTGTCAAAAATCAATTGCTGGTGGTGTTGGCAACGATTCCTATTCTTTTGCCTTATTTTATTTTTTTTATATTCCTAATCGGTGAAGAAGATAAGGGAGAGAGAATGGTAATCAGCGAAATGTCGGGTGTTGGCTTCTTCACCATTGAGTTTTTTTTAATTTTTTCAATCGTAAAATTTTATATTGTCGTCGATGTTCATCGTTAGGACGCTGGTGGTTGTCAAGAGTTGTGTCATCACTGTAAGAAATTGATTTTGCCGTCGTTGTTGGTATATGTGAGGCTTCATCGATTTTTCATCCTTTTGGCCGGAAATTGTAGAGGGTTGCCGTCATTGTTTGTTCTTTTGGTCGGAAGTTGCAGAAGTTCTATTGTGTCGCTTTATCGTAACCATTTGAACCCAAACCGCTATCAAAATCAAGTCGTTCGTCATATTCTCGACTCCAAGCAGTCTTTCATGGTGGTAGGTTGCAATTAGGTTCAATCTTGTCAACATGTGTTTTAGTTACTGTCGTCGTGCCTTGTTCTGGCCCGCCGATGGGCCATAGTTGCCGAGAGCTTTGCCATTTGTTTTGATTGTTGGTCGTAGCTTCGAGGGTTGTACTTGAGCCGAAGGAACAATGATGAGGAGAGTTAGTCGATGACGATGTTGAGGACGGCACGTGTGGCAACCTTAGGGAATGATTGTGGCAACATTGTGAGCGGGTGTGTGTGAGCGTGTACAAATGGCACGAGTAAGCTATCACACTGGGCGAGCCACAGGTGCATAATCCCACATTGCTTGGGGTGTGGATAAATTAAATGTTATATGTAGATTCAACACCCTTCTATGGCACAATACGTTTTAAAGCCACGATGGCCGTTAACCCACCAGAACTCCAGAATTAAGCCTGCTTAACTTTGAGTTGTACTAGGATGGGCGATCCCTTGGGAAGTCTCTGGTCTGGGGGAGCCAAAAACGGATAATATTGTGTCTGCCTAGGGTGAAGGTTGTTATAAATGGTATCAGCGTCTAACCAATCCGGAAGTGTGGTCAACGAGGAGGTTGGGTCCCAAAGGGGGAGTGATTGTTGCAACCTTGGGGGGTGATTGTGGCAACCTTTTGGGCGGGTAGGTGTAAGCGTGTGTAAGTGGCACCACTAGGCTACCACATTGGGTGAGTTACAGGTGCACAATCCCATATCGCCTAGGTGTGGATTGACAAGTGTTATATGTAGATTCAACACCCTTCTATAACACAACGCATTTTAAAGTTGTGATAACCATGAACCCACCAGAACTTCAGAGTTAAGCGTGCTTAACCTAGAGTAGTACTAATATGGGTGACCCCCTAGGAAGTCTCTGGTCTGGGGAAGACAAAAACAGACAATATTGTGTCTGGCTAGGGTGAGGATTGTTACAACACGTGCTTGAGTTATTGGACAATGCTGATATTTATGGGGTTGTGATCGGAGAGTGGCGCATGCGATGATGTCAACATACTGAAGCTAAATAAGATTAATTTTTTGCCAACTGGACCGCCACATGGATTCTGCTTAGAAAATCGGTGAGACGTTTCTACCTGAGTATCACGACCCTTAATTAAATGTAAAACATAAGGAAAATAATACTTATACCGATTTGTTGCAATAAATTACCATACCTACTTTTTAAAAATTGTCATCTATGCAATTAATAAGGAAATGGGGCCTTCCACTTACTTGTATTGTGCATAAATAACCATTCAGAAACATTCGGTTAAATAATTCACTGTAACAAATTGGTATAAGTATCACACTTCAAAACATAATAACATCATTGTGGACCCGTTAAATGGTAATTCATTCATTATTAATACAATAAAAAATATTAAAAATTAGGTTATCAAATAGGAAATAAAATTATAATACCCCATGCTAACCGTTCTGAAATTTCCCAACCGTTGGATGTGGTACTGAGACCCACCTTATGGATGATCCAACGATTGGGAGACCTCGGCACGAGATATATATTATAGAACTTCTCACAAAGAGGGGAGAAAGTCTACAATGCCGTTGGATCATTCATTAGGTGAGACACTTAAAATCGAAAAAAGTATTAGAGCATCTCCATCAGTTTGTTAAATATCATTTTGTGTAAAATATACACTACCACATATGATGTGTGTGTGTATATATATACATATATATATATTTTATCTCCAACAATCTGTTAAGATACACTACCGCGACACCAATGTGTAAAATTGTTGTATATTTTACACAGTCACATCAATATATTTCCTTTCTCATTTCTCTTTCTTATTCCATTAACGAATCAACCTTATATTAAGTAGGTTTGTAAAAATTATGTGGGTCCTGTCATGACACGTGCTTGGTTGTTATCATGAGATATATTTTTACACAAAAGTTATAAAACTACCATTGGAGCTAAAAATAAATAATCCAAATTTTTGTGTAAATCTATCATGACATTTATATAAAAAAAAATAAATAAATAAAAAATACACAGTTTGTTAAAACATCCTTTTGTGTAAAATATACAATGCCACGTATGATGTGTAAATTTTTTTAATCTTCAGTTGTCTGTTAAGATACACTGTTATATCACCAATGTGTAAAATTATTGTATGTTTTACACACCACATCAAAAGTCTTGGATCCTCTAAATTATCATAAGTTGAATTTTCTACATAATGACATGTGTCATTTAAAATATATCTACTACATATATTAAACAACATAAGCTAATTTAATAAAATTTAGAAAACTGCACCGTTTGAAAATAGAAATATTTTAAAATACCTTAACCATTTATACTTTAGTTTAAATCTAAATCTGAATCGGCATAAAAATGCATCTAATTATTATCAACCAAAGATTTAGTATTTTTAAATAATGAAGAACGTCCAAACCAATACTATTATTTCAAAAGGAGGGTGAAGGAACAATCTTTTTTGGAGAAAAGATGAGAGATCTTATAGGAGAGATGTTTACGTCTTCGTAAAGCTTTTTATCTTAAAATGGTGTAGTTTTTTTAAATTTTATTAAATTAGCTAATGTGGTTTAATATAAGTCGTAGATATATTTTAAATGACACATATCATTATGTAAAAAATTCAACTTATGATAACTTAGATGAGTTTTAATTTAGAGGACCCAAGTCTCACATCAAGACATTACATTTCTCCTCCCTTTTTCTCATTCCATTAACAAATCAACACTATATTAAGTAGGTTTGTAAAAATTATGTGGGATTCAGATCTAACAATGGTTGGTTGTTATTGGGGAATATATTTTTACACAAAAGGTATAAAATAACCGCTGAAACTAAAAATAAATAATCCAATTTTTTTTTATAAATCTATTATGACATATCAAATTTATACAAAAAAATATATATATATATACACAAAGATCGATTGGAGATGCTCTTAAAAGCAACAATAGTAATTAAGGAGGCATGCAATAAATACATTGTTCTCTTTCACAATTACCAACTTGCCTTTTAAGTTGTAAAGTTTTGAACTTTTGAAAACTTAGAAAGGTAATAATAAAAAAATAACATTTATTTTGCTTGAAGTCTTCAAATGATACAATTAATTTGACACATCTAAAAATAAAATGATGAACAATGATATTGTTTGATAAAAGTGAAAATTTTAAGAGTTTTAAGTGATATTAGTAATTAATTATTGTTATTATTATTTTTTAATATTTAAAATTTTTAACATTCCAGTAGTATTCAATAATTAGTGTTGTCCGTGTCATTTATTTTAAATGGCACTTATGTAACATTCAAATTGCGATATTAAAGGAAACTCAATTGTATTGAGTTATTCTGTGTTTCCACAAACTATCTGGCGAATGCTGATGTATGTGGGTCCCTCTCACCGCTTTGGCGGTATCGGCACAATTCGACCGACATGGCCAGCGTAAAAATATTTGGCATTCAGTTCCCCTTGATTGCATTAAAGCCACATCTCCGCTGTAATAGCATGACTAATATATATATTAGTGAAAATGCCACGTGTCATCAATTGTGTTACAATGAGTTACTTTGTCACGTAGTACTACTTTTTTTTTCCGAAAAAAGAAACCCTAAGGCCTCGTTTGGATTGAGGGAATTGGAGAGAAAAGAAAAGGAAGGATAGAGTTTAGTGTGTTTGGGTGGAGGAAATTGAGAAGAAAAGAAATGATTGGGAAGGATTTGGAGGGATAGGCTATCCCTCCTGCACAGTGAAATCAAATCCCCTCAACTTTGAGAAGATTTGAGGGGAAAGGAAGCAAGTGAAAGAGAGACAAAATTAGCCTCGTGTAGTTTCAGTTTGCAATTGCATAGAGAGAGAGAGGGCAAGTTCGAGTTGAGAACGAGAGACAGATAGAGGCTGAAATGATTTGCTTTCTTTATATATATATATATATATATACACACACACATACATACAAATATACATATATGCACAAGCTTCTTCTACAAATTGGCAGTTGCAGAGAGAGACAACCGGCTGAAATATCGGCCGTCGATTTCCACACTTCGTCGTCATCGACTTCTCCTTCTTTGTTTCGAAGAGAGCAAAATAGCAGCCTTCGTAGCTTTTCTTCAGTCACATACATGGGTAAGCCCTGAACTCTTTATGAATTACGATTTCTGTAAGTTATCAGCCGGCTGTCAATGACGACGTAGTGTGGAAGCTCTGATCACGGGATGGGAAGCTCTGATCTGAGTCGTCATCGACTTCTCCTTCTTTGTTGTCTCGAGATGGATTTTCGTTCTCCAAACTTTGGGGCTTTTCGAGCACTGGAGGGTCAAGATCATCTGATAAAATGGATTTGAAGAAATCCATGAATGAAACAGAGAATAGAGAGATGGAGATATATATATATGTATATGCCGATATATATAAATACATATATGTAGTTTGGTTTTGATTTTTGGAACAATCTGATGATGGAAACTGATAGATATAGGTTCTGATCTTCTGATTGTTGTAGATTTTGTTGTATGCAATTGGGGGGAGAGAGAGAGGATCTGTGAGAATGATTGAGGCGAATTAAGGAGGCTAAAATGATTTTGCCTTGCTAAAAATACCAAAAAGGGTAAAATGGTAATTTTATTATTATCCTTTTCCTTCTATTCCCTCCATTGTGCTATCCAAATAACAATATTACCAATTCTTTTCTTTTTTACTCATCCAAACATAAATATAAATTATAACTATCCTTTCCTTTCTTTTCTTTTCTCTTCTTTTCTTTTCTTTCCTTTCCCTCACTGTGTATCCAAACGAAGCCTAAAAAAAGTGAAATAAGAATGGCACATGCGCACCCATTCCTCCTTCTGAAGTAACGGACCGCAAACCACGGTGGTGAGACGGTGACAGTTTGCGTCGGTCTCTCCCACTCACACTCTTTCATTTCGTCTCTAGCAAGCAAAATTCATACCATGGACTTCGCCACCACACTTCACTGCTCTTCACTAGTCCTCATCATCATCTCAGGTAGTAACAGTACTAGCTAGTTAATGATTTTGTGCATCTTAAAATGATTTTTCACTGAAATTTTACTGAATTTTTTTTTTTGTTGAAAATGTGTGGTTTTAGGATTTTTGTTTCCGGCGATGGTTTCTTCTATCGGAATAAATTACGGTCAGATCGCCAACAATCTCCCGTCACCGGAAAATGTCATTCCGCTTATTCGATCGATCGGTGCTAGCAAAGTCAAGCTCTACGACGCAGATCCACGAGTCCTTCGTGCATTTGCCAACACCGGAGTCGAATTCATCATTGGACTCAGCAACCAGGACTTAGTGAGGATGAGAGATCCACAACAAGCTCTAGCTTGGGTGAAGACAAACGTTAATGAATTCTTGCCGGAAACGAAAATCACCTGCATCACCGTCGGAAATGAAATTTTGACATTCAACGACACTTCTCTTAGCAGTAGCCTCCTTCCGGCTATGCAGGGCGTACACACTGCTCTGGTGAACCTAGGGATAGACAAGCAAGTCACCGTCACAACTCCACATTCACTAGCTGTGATGGAGACTTCGTATCCGCCGTCGGCCGGAGCTTTCCGCCGAGATCTGACGCCGTACATCACTCAGATATTGAATTTCCATGCCAAAACCAACTCGCCTTTCCTCATCAATGCCTATCCCTTCTTCGCATACAAGGCCAATCCGAAGCAAGTACCGATCGACTTCGTCCTGTTTCAGCCTAATTCAGGCGTTGTAGATCCGGTATCGAATCTTCACTACGACAACATGTTATTCGCTCAGATCGACGCCGTCTACTCTGCTCTCGCTTCGTCAGGGTTCAAAAAGCTTCCGGTGTGGATCTCGGAGACCGGATGGCCTTCCAAGGGAGACGAAGACGAAGTCGGAGCGACGCCGGAGAACGCGAAGAAGTACAATGGCAATCTGATGAAGCTGATTTCTCAGAAGAAGGGGACGCCGTTGAGGCCGAGCTCAGATCTGAACATCTACGTGTTTGCTCTGTTCAACGAGAACATGAAACCTGGACCGACTTCGGAGAGAAATTACGGTCTGTTCAAGCCTGACGGAACGTTGGCGTACCCGCTCGGGCTCTCCACAACCAACATACTAGGGAACACGAGCTCTAATAGTTCTAATGCAAGTTCCGGGAATTCAACGCCGGCGAGCTCGTCGACGGGTTATTTATCTATTTCTTCTGCGTCGGTAAGTTTTTTTTCCGTTCTGCTCTGTGTCTAAAGTGCGCCCCCGCCGGGCGCAGGTTACGGTGCGCATTTTAGCCGTGTAGTTGAGATAGTTCGAGGGGCGTTATGACGCGTAGCAGTCATTGGTAGTGGTGTCCACTGGGTTGCACTCTGTCCCAAGCCGTGGTAATTGACTGGACAGTAGGCTAGGTCTAGGTGGCACATCTTTCCCTCAAAGCATCTCTTTTTTATAAAATCTACAGTAAGATTTTATATAGGCAAATTATGCGATAGATTATGGTCACAATCACACACTGGCATTTAGAGTCGATCATGGTAGCGTTTTTCACCTCTAATGTCTAGATCAAGCAGAAAATTTTGGATGGATTGATCAGTAACGTGTCTAATGGTGATTAGTCGGGACCACGGCCGGTCATGTAGCATCATATTGTGACTGCTGCAGCGCTGTTCACCTCTCGTGTATTTATTTATTTGGTATTTAAAAATATACTCCTCCGAACTTATAATTAAATGCGGTGAAAAACATTACAACAATTAAAGGCACTCAAAAGGATCCAAGCTCCTCTATCAAATATAAAAAGAATTTTCATATAAATAAAAAAATATTACATTTGAAAAACGTATATAAATAATATGAAGTGTAGACGCTTATATTTCATGTGCTATTTACTTGGCAATTTTGTGATTGCTTTTTACTGGATTTACTTTTGTAAATGACCATCAATTCTAAAAAAGGTCTAATAGTTTTGTTTAATGTTTGTCTTGATTTCAGGGAAAATTACAATCTGCAAGCATTTCGTTGTTTTCGAGCCTTGTGGGGTTGTTGATGACATTGCATTTATATAGATCTGAATAGTTTTGGAATTGAAAGGGCTTCAAATCTACATGAGCTTTAGACGGTCACACACAGTAATTATAGGAGAGAGAGAGAGAAAAGGAGCTTCAGAGACAAGAAAAAGGTAAAAGATTCGTTTTCTTTGCTTGTACGCGATTATGTTATCAGGAATCATCATCTTATTTTGTAGCTCTATTAACAGCCAGTAAAGTAAGTAGATGTATAGGAAATGGAAAATGATTGTCGGGACACTAAAACCTGATGACAGTGAATAAAGCTGGCCCACTTTCTTTCGACTCCTTTTGTTCAAATGAGTTAGTATGTGGGGGCTCTACTTCATCACAGAGCGGGTTGTAGTCTCCCACTGAGAATTGAGAATATGAGTGGCACTTTTTTCACTTTTTGTTGGTACTGATTCCCTCTTTTCTCTTGTAGGGGTTATGTCAACGATGGTGTTAATTTTAAGATGCTGTGTGGTAATAGGGATAGGGAATCATTTAAATATAATTTACTGATCATGTAAGGAAGACTATGGATGAGACATCATTTGATTTAGATTTATTTGTATCCCCATTCGTTTTTGTGTAGCGGATAAGTTATTGTTATAATGATATGGTGTGTACTACTATTTCATGGTTGAAGTATGACACTGACGCCGCCTTTATATAGGGGCTTTTTAATATTCGCCGTTGTAGAGATCAGTATAATTCACATGACCTCTATATAAAAGATCAGTATAATTTACCTTACTGCCTTTTCATACAATTATTTTATAAAATTTGGTCACCAAGTTTGCCAGGAGTTGCACTAAAACTTAGGAAGGTAAGGTAATAAACGTTGAACGGTCTACTCAGGTGTAATTTTTCCAAACCTAAACCTCAGGTGAGGTCTTAGCCTAAAGAAATTGTTAACGGAAAATATTACTCTACAAAAGAAAGGCTTCAAAAGTATCCAGAATTCTTCCTTCAGAAGATTGAAATTTTCAACAACTAATGTCCATCTTGTTGCCATGTCTACTGAGATGTTATACATTTTATCATCCGGAGCCATGTTATAAATCACAACCCTACAGAATTGATTGATGTCCAAAATGCCTATACAATATTCTTGTTTTCAACCCAAAGGTCAGCACATTTGTTCTATAATGCTAAAACATATGTCATTTGGCTGAAAATATTTCAACCAAATCAGATTTTCCTCGGAAGAGATGGCAGTAAAGCCATAAAAAATGCAAAATTTAGATGCATGCATAGGGCTATGGCCTTCAAAAAAATTAACATGCCCCCTGGGATGACTCTCCCACTCCATACTCGGTTCAGGTTTCAACTCTTTGGTAGAACAACACATAGGCAGCAGATGTCCTGATCTCAGCTTCACTAACTGGTGAAACGTGGGAGTCATCAAAATGATACCATTTGTTCTCATCAATTAACTGCACAAATAGAAAAGAAAACCTGAGTACAATTCTATAAATATACACAAACACACATTCATATACATGCCAGGTCCTTGTTATGCCTTTCTCTATGTAACACGGGTAAATATAATTGCATAATCTATAAGTTAATAAATTTAATATAGTCATAAAATTTTAGATCTAGTTGTTATGAGGTAATGTTTGTCATTAGCAATATAATTTTATATATAGAAAAACATATTTATCGCTATCTCCTCGTCGTATCTATGTCTTATTTTTTAAAAAATTTAATGTGTACTGCTTCTTAGCTCAGATCCAAACTACTGCATTTTAAATGTGGCAAATACTAAGCTCAGTAAATTCAAGATATTAAAAAAGATGAGAAAGCAAAAGATTATTTAATTATTACACAGATCCTTCTTGCACAAAGGATCTTTTTATTGTCACTAGGAAAACCAAATTGAGATCCTGATGATTTTTAAAAAAGAATTTGTTAGAACCACCTAGCAAAATTGCAAACAATTGGGTTCCTGGAAATATCTCCAACAAAAATAAAGGGCAAAAAACTAATAATAATAAAATAAAAAATGAGAACGAAATGTGCATTATGTGTTTTACCTTAGCATAAGCAGAATAGTGCCCACCACCTAGGCCACCATAATGGTTGCTAACGGCATATAGCTCGTACGCATGAGAATTTGTAGAAGCATCCTTACACTTCACATAGCTGCTTAAATCAAGATCATGAATGGGAAAATTTACAAAGGAGTCGAGTTTGTTCTTCAGGTATCGGCTATATGAGAACCGTTTCAAGTGAAAGACAAGTATATCTGGCAACCTCCACAAGTCCAACTTCTTGGTTGCTTGTCTGTGTTCCTTGCAACGAGGACAATACCTGCATCGTTATTTAGCACATAAAATATAAAGAATGATACTCTGGAAATATGAAGGTTAATTTGCCTCAAAATACATAATTAAGCAGTAACAAGCTGTTAAATATTATACCACATGTCATCAGGCCCGAGTGGTTCCTCCTTTAAGAATGCATCCAAGCATGAAAATAGTGAGACCCCTTCCTGCCGGGTTTTCTTCATGGTAAGCCCCGTCTTATTAACCTCAGGGAGATCCTTGAGGTAGCTAGCATCATATAATTCATGTTCTTTATCAGTCCAATTCAGTAGAACCTTGACCAGCTTACCAGGTTTTATGAGTGAATCCTCTACAATTGGCCGGCAGTTCAAACCCCTGTCATCTGTTATGCAGAGCTGAAAGCAAAACTCTGTGCAGGATGTTTCTTCCAATTTTGTTTTGTCTGTCAAGTGGTTCTCAGGTCCAGAATTGTCATTGCTGCTGTTCATTAATTCATCAATAGCTTCTGATGCACAACCATTTTCCTTGCTACTATGAGCCTCAGTCAAACTAGAGAATGTTTTCCTTCTAAACAAAGACATCATTTTACTAACAGCAATATTGATACCAGCTCCAGTATGCGAGTCTTCTAAACACGTAACCAGTGGGGTCAAAAAGAGCTTCCTCTCAAAGCCCTTCAAATTATCTGACATACAGCTGGACAACAACAATGTGTTGGTTATGCAATTCATAAAAAAAGAGAAATAATGAACAGCTTCATGAAGCACCTAAGAAAGATAGAACTAGACATGTTGGCCTTCCCAAATAAAGGGAACAAACTACGAAACACATAAGCATGAATATAAAATTTGTTCATTAACATTTGTTGCGCAATACACAAATCAACATATTGTTCTTTAGGAATATAAAATCCATAAAGCCTACTCAGAGAGGCACAACAGAATGCAAGCATGCTATACGTCACTCTTAACTGAAGCAAGTATGAGCAATATCCAAAAGACAAGACTTCAAGCAATCTAATGTTCTAAACTTTCAACCCCCGCGGGCAGGGAAAAAAATGATAAAAAAAAGTTGCCGTACATACCTCAAATAGTTAAAACTTAAATCAATACAAAATTAAAAAACTAAGAAGATTCAATCACAATGGTCACTCAGGAGCCGTATGCATTTATATCATACATGCATAAAATCATTGCGGCCACAACCACACAGTCATCAACAAGACTGACAAGGTAACAATTTCAGTGTCTGGTTCATAAAGACATCCAAGCATGCTGCATACAAAACCATGCATAATCCAAACAAACGTCAATATTTAAACTAATAATCAGAATATTTAAAAATTCAGTTGGCAGCCACTGAAAATGTGCCTCTTTCTCACACGTGGTTCATTTAGCTCACACAACAAGGCATGTGAATACACAATTGCTAATGGTTGGAACAAGGTTAATTAGGGCTTCAAGAATTACAACTCACTTGTCTAGATATCGATGACTTATCTCAAGTCTTGTCAATTCTGCCTGCTTTTTGGGAAGCCTGTAGGCCACAACATATTCATCATCTTTTATAGAGGACAACGGTTCCAAAGGAATCTCCAAGTACCGATATATCCGATGTTCATAGACCTGGAGATTGAAAATCTAGTGCTTCAGAAAAAGGGGAGGTAAGAAGATACAATAAAATAAAAATAATTTATCAAAATCAAGAGAATATATTATTACCTCTGCAAGCAATAGGCATTCATCACTCTTTAAGCAGCATGCAGTAACCAAAGCCTGATTAAGATCTTTACAGCAACCATGTTTTAGGACAGTAACAGTATATGGCATCGGAAGACCACCCCCATCACCATAAAACACAGTTATTGTCATTCTCCGAGTAACCGTTGAAGGCAGTGGCAAGGATAAGTACATGAAGGGATCAAATGTTATTGAAATTTTGCTACAAACTGGGCAAACCAATGTTGACTTATATTGACCCTGAGAATATTGAAATTGAGTTCAGAATGTTACTAAAAACTATGTCCAGTTTGTAAAAGCTCTGAAATACCAATCTCTGGAACACAAATAAACAAAGAGGCGGGATACCTCATCTTATATATATTGGGTCGGGTTGGGGGGGGTGGTGGGTTTGGGGGTCTTTGCCCAGATAACCACTGAAATTCTCTATCCAGCATGACTTTAACTCTAATTCTAATAATTAATTCAAACAAATATACCCACAGATTGTACAACAAAATACATTGTCAAGTGCATAAAGGAATCTAAATTGACAGCTAATGTAAGCATAAGCATTTTTTTTAAAGAAAAAATGACAAATAAGATTGATAGAAAATGGTTTCTAAAGGAAATTCTAATAGTAGTGACTAACATGTCCTGTTGAAACTACAAGGAAAATGAAGGATGACAAGCATGTAAGGAGTGATGCTAGCAGTTCAAACAACTTCAATACATGTATACAGAGAAGGGAAGGGGGGGGGGGGGGGGGGGGGGGGGTGTCTTTGCCCAGATAACCACTGAAATTCTCTATCCAGCATGACTTTAACTCTAATTCTAATAATTAATTCAAACAAATATACCCACAGATTGTACAACAAAATACATTGTCAAGTGCATAAAGGAATCTAAATTGACAGCTAATGTAAGCATAAGCATTTTTTTTGAAGAAAAAATGACAAATAAGATTGATAGAAAATGGTTTCTAAAGGAAATTCTAATAGTAGTGACTAACATGTCCTGTTGATACTACAGGGAAAATGAAGGATGACAAGCATGTAAGGGGTGATGCTAGCAGTTCAAACAACTTCAATACATTTATACAAACATATATATATATATATATATATATATATCAACAAGTAACTGACCTACCGAAAAAGGAAAAAGAAAGTGTAACTGACTTCCATCATCGCCAAACCAGACAACAAAAGAAGCCTTAGAATTTGCCAATGAGAAACTATAAAATACTGCCTTCACCACTCATTATTTAGGACATCCCAGCCAAAAAAAGAGACAAATCAAGATGAACCACAACTTTTTACAATCTAGGAAGCATGGATACGGACACGAGTACGACACGATATAGACACGACAAATCTAAAAAAATTGGACAAGGATACAACATGGATACGCCAAAAAGTATTAACATATTATATTATTATATATATAAAAAATATGTTTACTCATTTTATCCATACAAATCATGAATAAAATCACTAATTTGGAGCTTACTAGAGCTAGATGTTTGATATTTTTGTTTTCTTAAATTTATATTATTTTTCTAAATAATCCATAATATATTTTAAACTACATTGAATCCCATTATTCTCGGAAATTACAAAACCACCCCGAGTCCTGAAAGTGTGACTACCATGTCTCAGCGGTGACCTTGTTGTGTCTAAAAAAATTAAATATTTAACTTTCAGGATGCTTCTAGTTGCGTCCGACACGTGTTTTGAGTGTCCGACACTGCCACAGCACCCCTAGGTGAAGTGTCGGTGCTTTCTAGGTTATGATCAAATCTTCTCTTAACAGAAAGGACAGAACAGCTTAAGCATAGTAACATAATAAGAGTTGGCGTCATTTCTAGCAATTTGCTATAAACTAATCCCCACTTCATCATAAACAAAACTTCTAAGATACAAAATATAAGCATATAAAATAAAATGCTCACTTGGAAAACATCCACAATTACGGAGTCATTCCGGGCCTTGTGATATCTCCAACACTCATCTGCAACTTCCTCATCAGCGCGACCATCGAAGTCCTTTGTTTCAAAGTAAGGCTTTTGTTTAACACGATTCAAATCTTCATGCAATCCGTCCAGCAAGAAGGCAAGGAGTTCCTAGAGAAAATATATTACTTTTATTTATCATAGAATAGGAAAGAAATAAGCAAGTGAAACCCTAAATTATATTAACATTAGCTACGAAGGGTGGGCACAACGAAACACCAATTGAGCATCAATATGAAGGTCCTTAATCTGGATACCTGTTGTTTCATAGATTGCAATATAATTATAACATCCATATAAAGAGATACATATATATATAATTGGTAGGTGAACAACACATGCACACACTTGCAACACCAAACAGCCCCCATGTGAGCTCAACCACTCACCCCCCCTTGGAAAAGGAGATCTGACACCAACTAGACCAATGGCCCAGTGGTATAATAGTCATAATATTTTGACAATCAACTAGATATTAAAAAGTTCCAAATCATGTTGTCTCAAATAAGCCTGAAATTGTGTTCCTACATATATTTTTAATTAACCATCAAGAGTGTTTCCAATGGGTATAAACTTGAATTTCATTGATGGGCAACAAGTATTTAAACCTCTGGATCTGGACTTCCTCTATTTGACAAGTAACAAATTGAACTTTATTTTCTCATTACTACATAAAGAGCAAGTGACTACATCAACATTAATGTACTGTAAAGTTCGGATATATGCATGTAAACCGAGATGGTTAGGAACAAGCCAGCCCTCCACCAAGAGTATTGTCAGTAGAATTTAAACTTGCATTTCATGGATGTGCATCAAGTTTCAACCACAGGATCTTGGCTTAGTTATGATCACAATTTTGTTTTTCTCTAATCACTACTAATCTATGTTACATGGACTCTTCAAAAGTAGTTGGAGTACTCGTGTCAAACTGACGTAGTACATGTGAACAGTGCATGAAAAGTGGCGTGAACAGTGTTTTCTAGTTTCTATTTTAGGAAAGTTTTCTAATTTTCTAAATAGTTTTGTGTTTGTTTTAGGAAAGTTTCCATTGATTTAATTTCCTATATAGTTTAGGATTTGCTTAGGCCTACAAATACATGCTATTGTAATAGTTTAGGGATCAATTATCTCTTTTATTAATATCAGAAAACTGAGAACTTTTCTCAGTCTCTTCTCGTGGATTCGAGTGTTTAAAGAATACATTGCTATTCTTAATTATTTTGCTTGCTTTCATTGATCCGCTGCAATACTTAGACATGGGTGTGAAATATGTGTCCAACACTTATGATTGGACATGCACCTAAAAAGCATATAAAATGATTTAATGTTATTATATTATTACTTCAAAATGAGTGAAATGCTAATATTAAACATGTACAAAGCCTGTTCATGTATTTATATATACACATGTATAAATATGGACAAAACCTGCATCCCTCCTTCCAAGATTGTGCTAGTTCTAGTTTTGAATGCCCTGTAATTGTTACATGGTTTTCAACTGTTCGACAAACCCTTAATCTTGTGTGATTTTAGGATCTCATCATTAGAACAAACCTATGTTTCCTGGACTTGGGTACGTGTAAAGTATTTGCGCGTCCAGGGGCGGGCCCCAGTTGTTAAAGGTGCACCTACGCTCCAAAAAAGCCCCAAGCTCGTCAAGGCTCAGCTAGAGCGCGTCAACCTAATACAAGCCAAGCCCCTTCAATCAGGCTCACGTAAAGCCCTCAAGTTCACATTTTTTAGTAGGCTCCAGGCTCAAAAAAGGCGCGCCTTGTATTTTTTAATCATTTATTCATATCATTTTCTTTTCACTTAATGACTACTAAATTAAAAGATTTTATATCATATATCGTATCGTTCAACCTTATGAGATATTTGACAAAATTCATATATTTATGGTTCATTACTTACATTAACTGCAATTACTGCTTGATTATGAATATATATAATAATATATTTTTAAATATGCATTGTTATTTACACGTGCCTTCCTTCAATTAGGCTCGTGCTTTATACTGTGCCTTGCACTTAAGCTCCAGAAGGCCTTTGGCGCCTTATTGTGCCTAGGCTTCAGAAGGCCTTTGTCGCCTTAGTGCGCCTTGAGCCTTTAACAACTATAACGGAGCCAGAAATTATGTTCAGGGTTTTAAGGACTTATATATACAAAATGTAATTTTTTAAAAGTTGAGGGAGGCAATTTTAAAATTTTTAAGAAATATACATAAAAAAATTCATTTTTTTAAAGGTTGAGGGGGGCAATTTCAAAATTCTAAAGAAATATACATCCAATTTTAAAAATTTTAAAAAATTATACATACAAAAGTTTAATTTTTTAAAAGTTGTGGTGGGGCACATACCCCCCTGGGCCTTACTTGGCTCCATCTCTGTGGGCGTCAGATGTGTCAAATCCCCAAACAAAAGGTCACATAGACACCGCTGAATATCCATATTATTTAATATTTAAATTTTATTTTCTAGAGTAAAATAACATCTTTATGTAACATAGTGTGTAATACAAGTTTTTCACTCGTTTTGAAGCAATAATATAATAAAAATAAATTATAGGATGTGTTTTTTAGGTGCATGTCCAACCAGAAGTGTCAGACACATATCCCATATCCATGTTTGACCATTGTGTGTCCGACACGGGTACTTCACCTACTTTTGAAGGGTCCACGTAACACATAACACAGGAAGTTTGACAGGTCTAGGGCAGCTTCTCCACCCACTAACCCTTCTGTTCCCAAAAGTTTTAGGTAGACCCTTTTCATGTAGCATTGATTTAGCCATTTCCATCACCGTGTGATTTTCTCTCTCGGATACTTCATTTTGTTGTGGAGTATAAGCCACTGTATGCCTTTCCATGCCTTCATCTTCACAAAATTTATCGAACTCCTTAAAGTTATACTCTTTTCCTCACTTCTCAAAAAGGTGCTGCCATGAAGCAATACCGTACAACTTAAAAATACGCAACAATCAAAGGAAGATAAGCTAAACATGTATCCAAATACGAATTGTTTCAAAATACCAAAATATAATTCATATGATGGGCTGATTTTTTCCAATTAGTCTCTACAAAGATTTTCATCAAATGTTCACTAGTTTTTTTCTTAATTAATCATTAAATCAGAATAGGAAAAAAAATAAAAAATAAAAAAACAACAGAGCCAACTGGAGAAATCACATTTACCCAAAAAAAAAACTTGGAGAAATCACTAATGATATATTTTAATGAGAGCATTGCAAGTGGAGTAAGGAATATGTAACTAACTTGAGAATCATGTTGATTATACCCAATAAACTGGGGAGCGAATCGAGCAAGTTTTCCCTTAAATTCACGTGGTGCAATTGATGTTTGCCCAGAGGACCAGAGTTTCCTCAATAACTCACCAAATGCAAGTGCAATCTCACCCTGCACAATTACACCACATTAGCAACTTTGTGAAGTGTTCCAAAGATAAAGCTTTTGCATGATAAATAACAACAGCAACATACATGCATTCCTAAAGGATTTTGCCTGTTGATCTTATCAGTGTAATCCTGCAAGAAGTAATCAACGAGAGGTGGTGTATGGACTAAACACTGAATAGAACTATTCATAAAACAAGTATTTCCCAAATTCTGCAATCCCGCCAAACCTCTTCTACCTCCTCTTGTTACAGGCCTTGATATGTCACATTCATCCTCCATATCCTTAGATGGGGAACTCAAAGTACTTCTGCGAAAAAAACTAGAACCGTAACCAGTTGAACAACCATTGGACAAAGTTGGGCCCCCGGCAATTGTCACAGATGATCTTAATGGTTCTATTGGAACCAATGCTAACTCATTGTCAGTTGAGTCCTTGCCATATCCAGATGACCAAAATCCATCACTTTGAACCTCCAGGAGAATCTGCACAAAAAAATGCACCCCAAAAAATAAACTAAATGTTAATTAAAACCAACTGAGATCCCAGAATTGGTCATTTACATAAAATTGAAAAGAAAAAGAGAGAGAGAGAGATTACGGTAGAACAGGAAGAATATGGTATATACCTTGCACCTCATCAGAACTACACAAGTGATGCAATATGCCAACAAAGTGTTCAAAGGAAAAAAGAAAAGAAAAGAAAAGAAAAAATAATCAATCTTTTTAAGTTCTACCATACTCAAGATGAACTTCATTAAAAACAATTCAAACTTGAACAAATTAAAATAATTTTTGTATTTTTTTTTTTAGTATAGTCATATATTTAACAATCATAATAACATAAATGTTGTTAATATTTAAAATATCATAAGAAATAAGGAGAAAAGAAAAATTATAACTAATAAAAGAATATTTATTTATATATTAATTATTAATCGGGGAAGGTTCGGAGCTTTGTGGGTTTTAAACTCTCTTCCCAAACCCGCCCTAACACTATTAGGATGATCCCTATTGCGACAGGATGGGGTGAGTTGAATTGACATTCCTAACCTCACCTCAATCTCGACTCGTCCTAATTACAGAAAGGGAAATGATATTTACGCCGAAGGATTTGGCCAATTTGTTAGGCAGAATCCTAGGTGGCGTCTAACTGGCAAAAAAATAAAAATAAAAAAGAGGGTGCAATCCATTTATCTTCCTGTCTCTCCTCTCTCTCTCTGACCTTTCCCCTCCATCTTTTGGGTCTTCTTTCCCCCCTCCCCTCTCTCTCTCTCCAGCTTCATCGGTGTACTTTAGGTGCAAGCAAGGACTGATTGGAGGTAATCAGCGAAGAGGTCGGTGGAGTTACAGTGTGTTGGCTTCTTCGCATCGATATATTTTTTTTGATAGAGAAATTTCAGATTAACAGCACTGGAAATACGTTGCTGAAGAAGGAGCGCGTGGGCGCGTTTTGCGCGAGTTAGATCTACTCGCAGGAGCGTGGGCTCGTGAGGCGCGAGTTAGATGACGTACGGCGGTTTGTTTTGTGGACCGGTGAAGTTCAAGCTGGAGATGAACAAGAGGCGGTGTTGTTGGCATATGGGCTTGTTCAAAAGTTTAAAACAATAGGTTGACGAAGATACAGTTGCTGATGCAGAGCAAATTTTTTTTTTTTTTTTTCACCTCCCGTCCGGTGGTGAGCATAGACTGGACTACTGGCAAGCAAGGATTAAACAGAGAACCGGCAGAGAGAATAACAGGTCGCCGACAATGGTTACGAAGGGTGGAAGATGTCACCGGCGTTGAGTTTGTTCACGGACATCCAGCAAGAAGCAAAGATGATTCCAAATAACAAGGTCTGCACGCTGAGGACGAAACGCTTAGCCGTAGTGAGCACGAATACTTTCAGCGACGGCAAAGAATGCTGTTCTCACAAGGCATGGGCCAGTGACAGTCGTTCTGTTCGACGACGAATTTGTATGCATGCCGATGATGACCGTTTGGCCGGTGGGAAGAAAATTCCGGTTCCGGTGAAGAGTTCCAGCGGGTGACAGGATGAAAAGACTCACAGCGATCATTTAAAATTTCCGGCTGAAGCAGGAATGATTGTCGGGTGCATGGTGGGGAGATGATTGGGCCGCCTCGTCCAGCAGCTGTTGATGAAGAGGATGACGGCGAGATGATTGAAGAAGACCAGTGGGTTGTCGAAGCCCTCTGCCGATGATAACAGTTAAGCCGATGAAGCAGAGGCTCGTGACGAGGACGACAGTAGGCGAGATCTTGAAGATGATGAAGAAGACTCGCAGAGAAATGGGTCTTTGTTAGTGTGATGATGTCAACGCACTGAGCCAAATATGATTAATTTTTGCCAGCTGGACCGCCACATTGTTTCTGCCTAGCAAATAGGTCAGACGTTTCTGCCTAAGTATCACAACCCTTACAGAAAATTTGTCAAAGCAATCAAATAAATAATTTTTTTTTTTTTTTTTAAATAATTATAATAAATATCATTTATTTATGATGTTTGATATATTTGAAACTTCAGTTCACAATGATTTCTAACTTGTACATGGTTTACTTCAGGGATTGAATTTCCAAATTTGAAATGTAAACTAAACAATTCATATACACGTTGAAATAGTTTATATTACACCTACTTGCTACTCTCAAGATTGTTTTCATAAATGAATCAAATGATAGTCAACCTGTTTGCATTTTACATGTATATAAATTTCACACCTTATATATTCTCTTTATTGTTTGTCTGTTTTTGTATGTGTAATTGAATCACAAGGTTCGATGCACCTCAAAATTTCACCCTTGACATGATCCAAGGCCATGTCTATATATTTACGTTTTACAACAACCTTTCATTACAAGCACCTTTGAGGTTTAAAGTTCTCATTCTTACAATCCGAATCCATGGTCACGGTCTATAATAATATCACTGAACCGGAAATTCCTATGTACCCCTTTTAAGTTAATCTCCTTTTCTTCTCCACAACAAAACTAAAATGTTTCATAGTTGTACTAAAAGTTTTCACTTCCTAGTTCCTAGCAACTGAACTACAAACCAAAATTTAAATTCAAAACTTTCTTGGCAGACACACCAAAAATGGGCATAAAATCAAAGGAGTTATGGGGATCTTATATACCACACACTGAATGACAAGATAAAATCATAAAAGAAGATGTGAACGGCAATGTTTATAGAAACAAGTGTAAGGAAACTAGAATACAACAATAAGACTATTCTAGTAAACGCGTTTGTCATGCCGGTTAAGGTCTGTGCATACTAAAGACTCTTCTTCATCTTCTGTTTTTTTTTTTTTTTTGGCTGGTTACATACTCATACAGACAAATGAAGGAAACTGATTGTCATGAGCAAAACTAACATTTTCTTTCAAATTTCAACTATGCCCAGAATATAAACATTGTTCAGAGTACTCACATCTTGGTCCATTTGCAAGTTAACTTCCTCCAGGGTTTGGTTTGAATTCGATAATGTTACATGCTTCCGTCCATTAAAATAGTCCCAGATACATGCCTGTTGAGATCTTCTATTTAGGAGAGAGACATATATATATTGAAATTCCTTAGGTATAAAAACCTAAAGAAGAAGAAATCAAGAGAAAACAATTAAATGTAGAAGAATCATGGGACTCACCTTTTCTGACTCTACCCTTTTAAGTGCACACACCCTCTCATAAAGATCATGTAAAGAAGCCTGAAACATAATTCAGCCAACAACAAGTTGAATGACAAGCATCTATACAACGAAGATGTCCATATACTAGTACATCCATAAAACAGGCAAATATTCAGGGTCCAGATCCAGTGTGTGTGTGAGAGAGAGAAAGAGAAGGTTGTCTTTTGATACTGACAGGATTGGTATGATTTCTCTCTCTTTCTACCAGTCCAATAGTATTATAATAAGTGGATGCATCACAAGTTAAGTGAACAGAACAATTTAAAATGACATTCTAGCACAAACTATTCCATTTGGATAACTGAATTCCCATAGATAGAAAAAAATAATTTTCCTTCTTTTCAAAAAAAAATTTTGGTGGGGGGGACTAGCTGCCAATTATTTCCTTTTATATATTTTTTCCTTCTTTTTTTTTTTTTTTTCTGAATCGATGATGATAAGAAGAAACCATTCATTCATTCAAGTACCAACTACATCAATCATGAGTCAGAAGAAATTTCATCAACTAATGTTTTCTTTCCTTCTTACATTTTCATGTGTGTGTCTATTCACACAGGTGTGCATCTGTGTGTAAAAATATGAAAGAAAACAATGCCAGGACCCAGTTCCAATGAATCATAATCCACCCAGTAGCAAACTCCACGTGTTGCTAACAAAAGATAAGAAATACGAAAACAACCGAACCATGAGTAGAGAACATGTAAACATTGTATTCAGGCAATCTATTCACTGATTTTAATTTCATACAAGTCGACATCTATGCAAAAGTTAGCAGGAAAACAACTTATAATCCAAAAGGAAATGCAGCTCACTGATTTAGAAGGTTGGCTTAATAACTTAGAAGGTTAGCTATAAAGAATACAGTAAGTAGAGAATTCACGTGATTTTTGTCGCTACTTTAATGGGTAATTAACCACATAAAACCGGATTCTGAAGAGAAAGTAAAGGAAAAAAATTAAGCAAAGGCAATACCTTTCTGCTCAACCTTATAAGTGATTGACTGTTATCTCTGGAATCAATTAGCTTAAGGCATAAAGAATATACTTCCACAATGAATGTCTTCTGAATACCCTGAGATATCAACTTCCTCACTAATGTCGGTCCTCCAGTGTACCTAAGAGAATGTGATGTCAAAAACATAGAAACATGAGCAGCATTAAAAAATAAAATAAAAATGAAACAACCCTATGCCAACATGGGAATCAAAATATCCAACTAATATTTGGGCATGGATCCATGCCAAATCTTACTAACAAAGTAACAATATACTAATATAGCATAAGAGGGAGGATATACATGTGACATTATTGAGGGCATTAAACAGTTAAACGCTCCAATATTTAAGGTGCAAAACAATGATAACATAGAATAAGTATGGCGGAATGGTGAAAGAAAATACCGTGAGGTTCTCAAATTTAATCAAGTCATCTTTGCTGTAATATTTATGTATGTATTTAATAATAAGATATGAAGAGAATCTCCACAAGACTCGATATGTGAGAGACAAGGGCTTCTAACTGTCTTCGACGTGAGAGATAAGTGTAATTCAATGCATAGATTAACGGGAAAATGTGGATATCAAACCCCATCAAGTCACATGTCTCCAAGCCGACAACTCCCACTTTGTCACGTGACTCCATGTTGGTAGCCCCCGAGTCACACTGCACATCACCAAATGTCTCCTACTGACAGTAGAACCATGTTTTGACATATATTTCTTCCAATAATGTACTTCTCCTTTCGTTGACTAACACTTTGACGTCTTGGGCCAACACATGTCACACCCCCATTATGTAACCCACCTTGGATAGCTTATCTCAGCCCTTCGGTTGGTGCAAACAGTGCCGCCTCATCCTCAAACCACAACACATGGGATAAGAGCAAGTTTCTCCATGTTTTGAGCTTGCCAATGGCTAAAGCCATCCCTTGAAATCTCCAATCATGCTCAATTTATATGGCTATCGCCATATTCAGTCCCCATCATCTCACTCTTAACACACATGCGCCATTTCATATCATATGCCTGCTTATATTAGAATAGAGTCCAGGGACCTCCTCAAGTTGTTGGGTGTCCACAATGCGGCCCCAGAGTTATGCCACTGTCCATTCTGGAATTCCAAGGGTTTGTGGCTTGGCAGGTAAAATTGAAAGCTAGCTAAGGTGTCTTTTCTGCAAGATATACACCTTTACAAATATAAAAGAAAGAAAAGCTACGCTCCTTCATGAAAAGTGGTCGCTCCATGTCATAGTCATTATGAACCACTTCGATTACAAATAGTTTCCTACAACTTCACATGGTTGGTAATATCTCCATTTAGCCGCATCACTCTAGTACGTGCAGTAATCGGTGCTAACCGTCTGCTATACTCCCATACTTCTATAGATAGAGAATCCAAACTCCATTTTTGACACGAACCCTTGAGGCACCACCAGAAGGGATTCTCCTATCTCCTCACACTCTCCAGCACTATTCCTCTCTTTCTCCCCTAAGGCTGTCTAGGTTCTCATCCTATCCGAATCTCCTGACATCTTCACCATCCTACATGTTCTTGAAACCCATCAACACCACATTTATTGCAAATAACAAAAACCGAATAACCTCATCATCCAAATGAGAAATTAATTCCTCCATAATTAGAAAAAAATAACTATAGGCTCAGGGCGAACCTCCTGTAACCCAAATGTGACTTTAGACTTATATGTCCTTCAACCAATTTGTCTCAAGTGAGCTGTCTCTCCATATATTTCTCTAACAAAACAATAAACGCATAAATTTCTGTCGTGCAATCTCTAGGTAAATTAGACATTCTTGCTGAAACATTGTGAATATTATTGACAAAGTAAAAAATATTTTAAGCATTGCAGCAGAAGTATATTGACAAAAAGAGTTAAATAATCATTACCAGTAAAAAAGCTTCTCCCAAACTTCTTGAGGAACTAAAACATAGTCACGTCCTTCCTCCAGTGTTCTAAGAAGCTGTGGATCCTCATCCTCAGAGTCACTTCCTTTTAATACTATATCAGTATTATCAATTGGACCAGGTCTATCTGCTGCTTCTAATTGAAACATAGGCTGAGAATCATCAGAATGATTATCACATGAATAAGAACCAATGCCATGCCCGGTGTATCTCTGCCAGCCTGTGAACCACCTGCACAAAAAGCAGAAAGAACAAGATTACATCAATATAAAGGATCTTTACAATTGATACTGTTACTACCAAAAAAAAATTTCCTAGCCATACCATCAGCATACAGAAGAAATTGTAGGATGGACCAGATGGAGACAAACTAGTGGTATCCTATGTGATAGAAAAACACCAAACAAGTTAAAAGGAAAATTTTATAGGATGATCATTAGGCCAGCTATACGGAGTCGAGTATTGGGAATTAAAAAAGAAACCAATAACACCGCATTCACATAACTGAAATGAGGATGTTGAGGTGGATGATAGGACTTGGGAGATACTAGAAAAGATGGAATTTCTAATCAAAATGTGAGGTAGAGATTAAGAATAGTGTCTATTAGTGACAAAATAATAGAAAAAAGACCTAGGTGGTACGGACACAAAGAATGTAAGTTCATTAATGCGTCATTAAAAAAGGGAAGACAAGTTTGTATAGAAGGTAAGAGACAACGAGGCCAACCAAAACTAACACGGAATGAAGTTATTAAAAATAACTTCAAAGAATTAAATATTAGAAAGGGCATGCCATAAAATATAATAGAATTAAAAAAGAGAGAGCATGCAACAGACTCCATTCATTGGGGGAATAGGTAAGGATGATGACGATGATGTAGGGAAATAATCAGCCAAACTAAGGAAGGTATATTTCAGAGAGAGTAGCTAGCCTGATAACACAAGCATGACCCCATGGGCCATGGCGCCACTATTGAAGAACAGCCTAGCAGCATAGATGCTCACCAAGCATTTTCAACTATCAAAAATGCCCTTCTACGATGTTGGAAAACAAAGGTAAGCATATAGAAGGTGCCCAAGCATTCCTAGAATTAGAATGCGTTCGGCCTAAAAAACAAACCCAACAAACCCAAGCCACAGATAAAGGACCTGGATCCCATTGTTTGAGATATAACTAATAGAAAATGCAGCCAATAAATTTGAATTTAAGTGAACATATTTATAGCCATTGTCAATCACGAGACATCACATAATTGAAAACCGCTATACTAAAGACAATCAACTAACAAGCCACTTATGATCAACAGATTGTTGAGATCACAAATTGAACCCAATGGTCCAACTTGGAATTTTCTTTTCCAAATATCCTAAAACTATTACCCAAAGTCCACATGTTCAAAGTACAGCCAGGGTGGGCATAAACATGAAGCCTATACAGAAAGAATTCCTGAAGCAACATAAATGCCTGAAAGATACAAAATGAAAACTAACGGAAGAGAAAATAATTCCCCACGCAGATATAAAGTACAATTTGATGTTTCAGTGATACAGTGCATTGAAATTGATACATCAGGCAAATAGGATTTGAGAATATGGATTACTTAAATAACTACCTGTTGGAAATAATATAGTATAAATTCCCTTCTTTCATGTTAGACTCTGCTTTGTTGGTTAACTCCGTTATGATCCGTTTTTCTTCCTCCGGTGTGCACGGCAAGCCAACTGCTCCGTTCTCCATCATATCACACGAATCAGAAATCGTCATTATCGATACTGTCATACGAATCCTGTGAAATATATGCATATATATAAACAAAAGCTTAAGATCTCAAATTCATCTCATTCAAGTCATATAAACCTCAAAATCAACGGCCAAATCGGTAATGAATTAAACCAGCAGTTTTGGAAAGTGAATTGAATTGGAAAAACAAAACTATGGAAAGTATGTTAGTTTTTGGTCACAGAGTGATGTTGAATATAAAAAAATTAAAGGATTGGACGAACCGTCGATCAAAAGAAGTTGGTGAGGAGATGAAAAGGAAGATAAGAAACTGTTCAGATCGAACAATGATAGAAATTTGGGGATTGAGAAGCCCTAGATTGCGGGAGGCTTTTGTCAGAATGAGAGAAATGAGAAATGTTTTCCTTTCCCGTTTGATTCAACGATCTGTCCTTTTAACTTCAGTCGCTCACCAATATTGAATGAAAATCGGAAGTTCAAATATATATATATATCTTTAAGAATTTGAAGAGAGAAAGAAAAGTTAGATTTTTTTTACTTAACAAAAGGAGAAACTTAGAAAGTACTATTTTTATTTATTATTATTATTATTACTATTTTGGAACTGATTTTTCACAAGAGGAAGGTTTGAATTTTTTTTTTTTTTTTTTTTTTTACTTAACAATTCATGGTTATTGTCAAGGATTATTCTTTAAATTAGTATATATTTTTTACTTAACAATATTTAATGTCATGAATTATTCTTTGAATTAGTATATTGCGATAGCGAAAATTACGCGGAAATTATATTGTTGTTCTTATAAAAATGGTCATGTTACTAAATAAATAAATAAAAGGTCAAAATATATTAAAACAACATCATACGAATTATTCAAAGGTGAAACTTTAATTTTGTTAAAAAAATAAATAAATAATTCACCAATTTTGTTAAATTTGGATAATACAAATTTGACTTAAACATATAATAAAAATCGTCGCGTTAGAATTAAAATAATTACGCTACATCATATTTGAACAAATATTTTTTGTAAACACGAATTTGTCGTCAAACACAATATAAATAAATTTTAATAAGAAAGTGTGAGTAATTATGTTGTTTCTTTTATTCGAATAGCACATAGTAGGTGTGTGAGTAAGGTTTACGATTATTTTGGTTAAATATTACTTTCAAAAATTTTAGAGATTAACTATCACTCGGACCTCAAACTCTTTTTCGTTAAAAAAATACAAAATAATAATTTTATCCCTATTTTTTAATTTATTTTTATATAAAATATCAAAATTCTGAAATGACTAAATTGCCCTCATTTAGTATTTTGTCACCTCCCCAAAACTCTTCATCTCACCCTCTCTCTCTAACACACAGCTTGACCCACAGGCCATGAATGTGAAAATGAGTGCTGCCAATTTGCAGTATCTCTCTATACACACACACATATAGGAAACACAATAATTTTCTTCGCAATTTTCTGGAGAAAATTTGCAGGCATTGCCAATTTTCTGGAGAAAATTTGATTTCGGACGGTGCAAGCGCCGCATAAATCCCTTTAGTTCTTATATTTATCATCTTCTCCAGAAATTTACCAAACTTGAAGTCTTCTCTATATATATATATTAGGTTGCAATGAGACTTTCCGATTGGGTCTCGGTTGGATCATAACGTAGCTTCGGTTTCGGTTGGACATCTATTACCCAGCAAAGAGCTTTGGTTTTGTCTGTCTCACCAATTTGGGTCAGTTGAAGTTTACGGATTCTGGATTTATTGAAGCTCACTGATTTGGGTCTGCTGAAGTCACCGATTTGAGTACGTTGAAGCTCACCGATTTTGGGTCTGTTGAATCTCGCCGATTTTGGGTCTAACTGAGGCACCCCTCTTGTCGGCGTAATGCTCCCTCCTTGCTTTCGCCACCGCCACAACAGAAGTCTCATCGGCAGCGGCGACTCCCCCCTCGTTTTCTCCTTACTAACCTTGGTCGCTGCCGGCTGTTGTAGCTTCTTTGTTGACAGTATTGAAGAAGAAGAAAATAAAATAAAATAAAAAAGGAAAATAAAAAAGCAGCGACCGGCAGTTGCAACTTCTTCGCCGGCAATAATGAAGAAGAAGAAAAGAAAAAGAATAATTTTAAATTTCTGAAGGTTAAAGGGTATTCAGGCCATTTTAATTTATTTATTTATTTATTTTTAAGTCAACAGAGAGTTAGAAAGGTAAGAATATGATTTTACATGTAAAAAGTATCTGACATACTTGAAAAGTACCATTTAGGGGTGTAATGGAATGACAGACCAAAAATTTATAATAGAAGTGATAATTACGGAGTGTCAATAAAATTAACTTGAATAATAATAATATTTTATACTAACCGAAAATTTGTGTGTGTATATATATATATATATATAGCGAGTGTCCCACCCTGCAAAAATAGTCTAACACAGCGTTGGCCTTTTTTAACTAATAAAATGACACTTTTTTAGAAGAAAATAATAATAGTTCGAATCGATATTATTACCCGCTATGGTTGATTGGAATTGATATTATTACCGCATATGGTTGATTTAACACTTAATCCTTGACTTCCTTGTCAGATACTGATGATTGAGGGAAAAAAACAAAAAAAAAGAGAGAACGGTTTGTCAAGGGCCGCCGTGACTCTTTTAAAATGAAGTGATGGCGTACTTTTCACTACAATGAAATCCTTTACCCTGTTGGAAAATTTAAATTTGTGTGAGTTTCATTGTGTATCTTCATCATATGACTGAACCGCTTTAAAGCAACAGAAATATGCATTACAAACTTAAGACCTCATCCTTACCATGAATTTCTTCACAATATCATCGCGTATCATTTGTTTGACATGTTGAAACCAAAAAATGTAAATTTACCTGTACGTCTAAATTTAAGTGTCCCTTCATAATAAAAATTGAAAATCAACAATTTTCTTGGTGAAGCTTCACATATTATATTGCGTACGGTGGGGGCAAGAAACAATCTTGGTCCGAAATTTTGGAATTGCAAATCACACTCGATGGGGCTAGTGGATACCCACGCAAAGTGGGTATCCCCTTGGGGTCTTATGCCCACCCCACCTTGCTTCAGTTCAGAGACCATAGTTATACCACAACCATGTGCTTTACAAATGGATAAATACCTTGCTTTAACTTGGTCACAACTGCAATCCAGCCACAAAAGTATTGGATCCAAACACAGCTCATATCAGAGTAGAGTACGAGAAAACATGGTATCTCAATTTAAATCATGCATTATGGAAGACGATTTCATGGAGAATTCAGTTCTCACCATGATTGTTAAGGCTGCAATTCTTTGTGTCATACCGGCCGCATCCACTGCGCTTATCTCACACATTAAACACATAGATGTATCAGATAGCAGTTGTGGTCGCAACCACCACATTTGATGTATCAGATAGCAGTTGTGGTCGCAACCACCACATCTGCTGAAACATAATTTCCGAATGTAAGATAATATCTTAGGGACCAACCATCCAGCTGAGTAATCCGTACACAAATTTTTTTGAAAGAGAGGTTATCTAGTTAAGCATCCCTGATAGCCCAGCAAACCATCCTTGATGCTGTTAGTTTCAGACTGTTACAATGGGCAACACATAACCCAAAAATGGAGTTTCTGGCACTGTGTGTTTTTCTTTTTCAGACATAAACAATCACTATGTACAGCATGCTACATTTTTACATCAAAAGTCGAATCACTATCAAACCAGGCTCTTGCCGTACTACAGAGCACTATGAGTTAATCTAAAGAAAGCTACTAAAAGAAGACTAAACTGAAATGCTGATATGAGGGGTTACCTGTTTGACTATTTTACAGACAAGCCTCTTCCAAGACCATAAACCGAAAACCTGAAATAACAAGCACTACAACATGGTTCCTGTCTCATCTGAGCTAGCAGCCTCACTACCAGCTGGACTTGATCCTCCTCCCAATATCTCGTCCTCACTAAACACACTCTCCTCACTAGAACTAGAAAATGAACCATCATCATCATCATCGTCATCATCATCATCACTAACCACATCCACCTTGCGTCTCCTCCTCACATCCTTTATACCTCTTTCTTGCAGCGCCAGTCGCCTGCGTTTTCTTGCTTTGCGCTTGCCCTTGGGGAACTCTTCTGGATGTGATTCAAAACTCTTACTTTCAACCTCCTTGGCAGTTCTGTCCTTTCCGTATTCATTATCCTCTGATTCAAAACTGGAGGGTTCAGCATCAAGCTTGCGTCTCTTCCTACTAGCATTGGTCTGGTCCACGATTATTAAAATTCAGGATTAGTTGGAGTTTTAAGGCACAAGCCAAATCTAACTACAAAATTTAAAACACATTAGCATCCAATCCACAACATTTACAGAACAAGTGTTCAATTGAATTCTACTTCAAAACAAATCTGCAAGTAACAATATATTGTAGTATGACCCCGTAGAAAAACAGCACCACCATCATAATTTCTTCCTCATAGTTTCTATTCCTGGATTTTCCTAGAACATATATTTCTCCTGTAAAGATTATGACTAGCTAAAATAAGCTGTTTACAATTAGCTAATTAGCTTTCATACACGTGAAGTAGCAGCATGTGAAAACACACACTTTTTGTCCGAATCAAGCTAGAGAAACTGAATATATGCCGGAGTAAATTTCAGAAGCACACTGCATGAGTCAAACTGTTATTCAAGAAATGATGCAATCCCATTGAACAAAATAAAAACTAGGTCCCGTGGATTTTTAGTTTCGATTGGATAAATTAGTGTACTTCCCCTACAATATGAGTTATCTTTAAACAACTTGTATCTCTGGTACGCCTCAACACAACCAATTTTATGCTAAAAAAATTATTACCAATGATTTCAGAAACATACCTTGGGACCACGATCTACCAGCCGAGCCCATTCATGTCGGTTCCTCAGGCAATCAAGAACAGCCTGTGAAGGACTTGAATATGCATAGCGCTCTCCATTATGCTTCCGCAGGTTAGGCCAGTGCTGCACAAGAGAAGCACAAAAAGGAATAGACAAATCAGAAGCAGTACGTTTTCCTCGCTTTCAACAAGTAATGTACAGGAAATAGTAAGCTTCCAGTCTGGTGGAAGAAACCCTACCGGCAGCACTGCACCGCAGAGTTCTTCATATGTCATCCTCTTGCCTTTGCTCATAATCTCAGCAATTAAGCCTATGAAAATGAATACATAAATAAATACTTGCATGATAAAAAATCCAAAAGAATGATCTATTATTTGAATGATTTCAAGATAATATTCAGAAATAACTTATAAAGATTAAACTCCTCCAAAAGGTAACAACCTGGTAAAGTGTGATGCGTAGGACCCCCAACTGCGCCCGTATCATCATCTGAGCCGTTTTGTGGTGAGTTATGCATGGATGACAAATTTTGTTCGTTAGCTTCAGTGGAGGAAGATTGACCACTGCTCATAATCGCAGTAGAGGAAGGACGAGTACTTTTCTTGACAATTTTTACTCCTTTTGCAGACCCATTGTCTACTTCCCTCTTGGTAAAAGTATCTGGTGTAGATACATAATCATGTCTCTTCTGATCAGATGGAGGCACTCTGTCTATCCTCTTAGATTCACCATTAATTTCTTGAGAACTGCGAGACCCATCTTTACCTAAATCCTTGTTTTTTCTTTTAAAAACCTATAAAAATATAATGTATTAGAAACAAGTCTAGTACTAGCCGAATCTTGTAAACAAACTATGTTGCCAAAGGCTGTGAATCTCCAGAAAAGCGATAGCAACTAAAGCATTATTCTATCCATGAACAAAAGCAAGGCAGCATACCAAATTGTGATCTTTTGCTCCAGAACTAGATGTTCGCTTCATTAGTGTACTTGTAGCAGTTGGAGAAGCCAACTGAGGTAAGCTACCAGCGTGGCGCATACGTGGCACACGGGGAACTCTAGGAGAGCTGTTGAGTTCTTGATGCAACAATAAAGCAAGCTGTGAAAGAAACAAAAAAGATATCATGGAAAATTCTAAGCTTTCTGATAACAATAGACATTACATGAAATGACAGTTATGACCCACCTCCTCATCGCTCAGTGCAGCAGCAGAGCTGGAAGGAGCAGGAGGGTGCATTGGTGGTGCATTGTTCAACTTAGATGATGGCTGGCTACTTAGCTGATTAGCCTTTTCACCTCTCTGAGGCAAACCAGAAGCTGTAAACTTATTTTGTCCATGTAAAGCACTCTGAGTTTGCAATGAACTGGCAGTGTCACCAGAGCCTGAAGGAACTACAATATTCTGTGCAGAAGATGCTTTAGAAGAATACGGTAGAGGGTGTTTTGACTCTGATGAGGTTCTCTTGAAAACAGAAGCATGCGAGATCTTGGGTGAGTGTGATGCTTTCACCACAGAACTGACAGAGGATTTTGGATGTTCTTTTGGTATTTTCTTTGGAATTTCACGCCCATCTTCATCCCTGACTATATCAGTTGAGACATTATCTTTCTTATTACTAACATTGCCGCTGTCAGATATTCCCCGCTGTTTAATGATAATATTATGATTTGGAGCATTTGCAGGCCTATGTTTATCAGAAACAGAAGGTTTGGAGATCATAGTAGTCGATGAAGTTGATGAGGATTTTCCAACAGATAATATTACTTTACACTGACTGGGTGGTGCTGGAAGGCTTAACATGGAGCCACCTGATTTTGATGGCTCTTCAGCAGGTCTCGAACCATTTTTAAGTGCTGAAGAACTTTTTGGCACTAACATGGAATCTTCCGAGTCTTCCAACTGTCGCCTAAGTTGACAGAGACGACCAGACAGTTCATCAGCTTTATCAGTTTGACAATCACTGACTGCTTCTGCACATCTCTCAACATCTTGCACTTTATGTTCATCGGACTGTGAACTGGATACAGCAGTATCAATCACTTTACCATTTTCAGACAAGTGATCAGCAGACACCCCTGGATGTTGGACCAAAGGATTTGTGCCATCCATTACATCAGTAAGAGGAGAAAATCCAACATCAAAGACCCCTCCAGATTTATCTACATATACTTCTGTTTTGACATCAACAGTAAGTTGTAAAGAGCTCGATGATATGTCGGCCTTTGAATCTTGTAATTTTTTATTCTCCTCAACTTCAGGCACAGCATTAGTCAGATCTCTGACAACGGACTCGGACTTGTGAGTGTCAATCCCAGCACCTCTACAAGAACCTTCTCCATTACCATTCACATTATCAAGAGCTGCACCAACAACCTAATGTAATAACAAGAAAGTCAATCCATCACAAAGCAAAAAGGGAAGTAGCAGGCTACTTCCCCAAATGACATTAAATTGGCAGGAAAATCTACTTGACATCAGCATTTCTCAACAAAAAAAAAAAAAAAATTGCAGATGATTATTCACTTCAAATCAAGTTGCCAATAAGCAACAAGATTTTTTAATTATTTTTTGGTAATTCCAATTTCCAACAAGTAACAAAATACTAAACGGTATTAACAGTAAACATTAAAATTGTAAATAGAGGAAAGTATTCAAAAGGAACAGCCAGGGCCAATAATGCAACAATGCTAGTAGCATTCAGACAATGTTCAAAACTTTGCATGATAGAACCTTATTGACATATTAGAATCAACATTAAGGCAATGCATAAAATAAAGATCCCAGATGGTTACTACAAGCCAGCCAATGAAAGACAACATAATCATTGACTCTTTTGAATGAGTACATCTCCCAAAAAGCAGAAACTATGATGCATCAGAACAAGAAGGGAGAACAAGTCCAAAACAATAGCAACCGTTACCAGCTTTTTTCAAGATAAGCACACCAAACACACCATCATCCCAACAGGGACTTCAACCCAGCACCACCCATTTTGGAAGTTGCAGGAGATACCACCAAAACTAATAGCTGGTGGCAGGTGTCATTGACTTTAAGAACCAGTGTATTTTAGTGTTTTCACACAGTAGAACTGTTTGATCTCCAAGTTAATGCGTTTGCCCATAAGTAGTCATTGCCCATCCTTGTTTGATATAAATTTGGTTATGACTCATTCTTGAGATTTGAAAGATTTATTTGGTGGAAATAAGATTCAGAAGTTTCTTTTTTCCTTGTATTTCTATTTTTCTCTTCTATTTTTATTTTTTCTTTTTAAATTCTTAAGCGTTCTAGTTTTGATCAGGTTTACCCAATACGCAACCATCACACATCTTTTTTGAGAGCTGCTTGATATCATTCTGCTCATAATATTTGAAAACCAAAATAATTTTAAAAAACAACTTTTTATTATTAGTTCGTTTTTTGATAAGTAATAATGTATTAGAAAGCACTCAAAAAGGGAACACGGCCCAAGAACTACACAAAGGCCAAAGCCAAGGGACCCTGTTGGAGAATAATTATAGGAGTGATTTAACCCCTTAAACAACTTATTGACAGAATGTTAACATTGCTATACTTGGGTAACAAGTTGTTGCCATATTTGTATTTGGCTTTATGTGTAATTCCTTTATTACAAAATACTTGTAGGGCAAGAAATTTCTATTCTCTAACTACAAGTCTTCCCCAATTCACCTATAAATAGAAGTGGTTATTGTAAACAAAATCAAGAGAGAATGCAAGGAAAAGAGATGTAGCCCTTTGGGCTTTGTGTGTCGTGGATGTAAGCCCTAGTGGTTGAACCACGTTATATACTTGTGTTCTTTATGTTTTAATTTCTCTCTTCAACTTTTGCTTTTCTTTCATCATGGTATCAACTCTATTCGTCTCGGTTCTTCGGATCAGCTTGTTTCGGCTCAGATCGGATCAACTTGTCTCGGATCTCCATATCAACTCATCTTAGATTTACCAGACTCTCGACAATTTCATATTTAGTTTCAGGTTGGACACTTGAGTTAAATCTCCGTGTACCAACTTGAGAAGGAAAGGGAGAGGAATTATAGGAGTGATTTAAGCCCTTAAATCACTAATTGACATAATGTTAACGTTGCTATACTTGGGCAACAAGTTGATGCCATATTTGTATTTGACTTTATGTGTAATTCCTTTATTACAAAAAACTTGTTGGGCAAGAAATTTCTATTCTCTAGCTACAAGTCTTCCCCAATTCACCTATAAATAGAGGTGGTTATTGTAATTCCTTTGTGTGTTGTGAATGTAAACCCTAGTGGCTGAACCACGTTATATCCTTGTGTTCTTCATGTTTTAATTTCTCTCCTCAACTTTTACTTTTCTTTCATCAGACCCTAAGGACCAAAGGAACCCAAAAAAAACAACTATCTCTTCTATAATTTATAGTTTCTCCCCATAACCCAACAAAAAAAGAACTAATAATAAGAAATTTTAAAACCCCAGTACAAGATTCCACTCCATCAAAGGATCTTTTATTCATCTCCGTTAAAAACACATAAAGGCACCACCCACCAAAAACCACGTGTGTGATCCCACATAGCACCCTCTCCAAGCATCCACCAAACCTCTTGAAGACCGAGGCATGACCACTGAACTCCAAAACAGGACAAAAAGAAGGCCACAACAGTCGTGAGTCATTGGACAATGCAAAAGGAGGTGATCAACCGACTCTCCATTACTCTTACACACACAACACCAATCAACAGTGACATGTTTTCTCCACCTTAGGTTATCAAGCGTCAAAATCTTGCCCCAAACCGTACTCCAAGCAAAGAAGGCCCACCTTGAGCGGAGCCTTGGAACACCAAACCACCTTCCATGGGAAAGCAGGACCTAAGAAATCTGAGAGGTGTCTAAACAGAGAACGCAGCTCAAATCTCCCTTGAGAAGAGGGCACCCAAACAAGGTATCCAGACCTCCACCGTCAAGCTCCTGATAATACATCAACTCCAATAGAATCCAATTCCCAATCCTGGAAATGTCTCAAGAAACGCACATCCCAAGTTATATTCCTACTATCAAGCAAATAATTCTATCGACGACAATTCTGAAGAGCCTGGAAAAAGAACAAGGCAACGGGCAATCAATGCACCTTAAGTCCTCCCAAAAACAAATACCCTTGCCGTCCCGAACTTTGAATCTAATATGTTTAGAAAATTCATTTTAACCCTTCCGAATGAATTTCCAAACAACACCACCTCCTGGGATCCGAACAGCAAGGGAGCACCAACCACCTCTCCCCTCCCCAAAACGGGACAATATAACCCTCCTCCAAAGTCTCTGATGCTCAACACCAAAGCTCTGCTCAAGAAATATTGATACAACGTTTATAATTTGGTTCAGAATATTTTTTTTAGATAAACATCTTCATAAAGTTTAGTTGTTTATATTCCTTGAGGTTTGAGCTGCTTGATATCATTCCACCCGTATGATTTGAAAACCAAAATAATCAATAAGTACAAAGTGTTTATCATTAGTTCCGAACTAAAGAAATACTAATAACTTAACATGTTAATAATTTGGTTCAAAATATTTTTTAGAAAGACATTTCTTCACAAAGTTTAGTTGTTTATATTCTTGGGGTTTACTTGGTACACATCCACCTTCATAGGAACTAAAATTCTCGTTACATTCCCATAATACAAGTGCAAATGGAATCCCAACGTTAATTACTTAAGAGTTAGCTTCTACTTCACAAGAGTTGCTAGACTGGGGAACCATAAATAGTAGTAAACCAATAAAAAGAACAATAATAATTATCGAGTTTCATTAGGGGTCACAACCCTAACATGTGTATATCTCTCAAAAAGAAAAAAATTACCACTTCTCATCACCATCATCATCATCCTTGCCTTAATCTTCATATGGACGGAGTCGGCCAAATGAATTGTCATTTTCCATTCTTTCCTATTATATACCATGTCTTCTCTTAAATTTAAGTTTTTTTAAGTCGTTTTTTATTTTTCATCACACGTAAGCTTGTCTAAACCATTTTTTTTTTTTTTTTTTTTTTTTAATAAGTAAAAAGTAAGCTTGTCTAAACAAACAACTCTTCCACTTTTAATAGGTCAATCATCAAGTTTACATTGAATTTTTTTTTTTTTTTTTGATAAGTCAAGTTTACATTGAATATGACTATACCACCATCTACTTTCCTTAATTTTATCATTTATTTCCTCACACGTTCATTTCCACTTCATGAATGTGTTGCATTTGTGTCTTTTTCAATGTCCAACACTCTGTTCCATACAGTAGGAAGCACATACACGCCTAAAAGGGCAAAAAATCCGTGTCGGACACTGACACGCGCCAAACAAGTGTCAGACACGCCAAAATACGTGTCCGAATATTTTTTATTTTTCTGAATATCCAGACACGCCGTGGACATACTTCCGACACAACATGGATACGTGTCCAACATGCTGTCCCACTCTTTGGGGATTTTTAAGAAAATTTTAGAAACAATGTTGAGTTGAAGTGAAAATATATTGAGTTGTTTAATTACATAATTACTTAAAAACTTGTTTCATAAACAATTTTATATTCAAACAATTAGATATTTATTCTTATATATTTTAGCTCAAAGGTTCGAACCCTTGCACGATCATCTTTAACTCTCTTGTTGTCCCACCAACCAAGCTTCACTACCGGTAAATGGTCCCTGTATCTCTCTCTCCTCTTCTCTCTTATTCTTCATCCTCCTATTTTCTTTCTTCTCCTTGTTCTTCACAAACCCTAAATACTTCTTTTTTTCCCTTCACAATAAATTTCTTTTTGTCTCTTTTTCCTTTTTCTTTTTTCCAGTATTCCCCATGAACTTTTTTCTCTTCTATGGATTCTTACCTTTATTTTTTACTAAGGCCTAATTCTTTTTCAAGCAAAACCCTAATCCTCTTTGTCTCTTTGTTTTTTTTTCCCCCCTCTTTCTTAACCCTCTTATCATTCTTTCTTTTTTCCAACAAAACATATATATTTTTTTTCATCATGAGATTGTAAAAAAAAATATTACTCTTAATTTCTTAAAGTACAATATATATTATATTTTTTTTTTGATAAGTAAGAATAATTTTATAAAAGCGCTCAAAAGGGGAGCGAAACCCTGAAAATATACACAAGGCCACAAAGGACCTTTGGGCCTTCAAAGAAGCCAAAAAATCGACAATTTCATCTAAAGATCTATGATCTCTCCCATAAACCCAACAAAAAAGAGTGGAAATAATAGAGAGTGTCCGTGTCCTAATTTTTTTAGGATTAGTTGTATCGCCGTATCTGTGTCCCGTATCCGTTTCCGGGCTTCTTAGTCCATACATTATTTCCTGCAACTTGGTATTCGTTTGTCACAAAAGATCCTAGGTAACAAAAAGAATTCTCTTAAGTTAACACTTTGGTCTTGAAGTGTAATATTTATATTGTCATTGATTTCTACTATATAAATTTACATGTCATATATTTTGTTTTAGCTATCTTAGGCCCCTTGATTCTAATGCTTTTCTCCATATTGCTAATTTCATTGCTAAGGCTTCCTTAGAGGTATCTATTAATACTATGTCATCCGTGTTAGAACATTTATATGTGTATATATATATTTGTGTTGGGTAATTACGTATAGTTTGTGGCCATTATGCAATTAGGCCTTTCTTATGTTTGTATATAATCCTTCTATGTTTAGCGTTCAATGTAATGAAGTGATACAGACTCTATATTCTCCTTCTCTTTCTATTGCACAATTCATGTTTTCACAATCCGCAAATAACATTCGCCATGGATGTTTTCTTGAATATCTTTTGTTATTTCATGTACTCCCTGTGTCCCAAAATTCTTGGTCTTCTTTCCATTTTTGGATGTCCCAAAATTCTTGTCCCTAATTATAAAAATGTGATTTACTTCCCAAAATATCCTCAACGTTTTGAAAACTTATCCCAACATACATTTCTTTTAAATGGATAGTTTTGCAATTTTAAAAGGGGTCAAAACATTATATGCTTGTCCCCATAAAAGTTGGAGTTCCAAAGAGGCCCATGAATTTTGGGACAGGGGGAGTAACATTATTGCAAATAGGTGTCCCACCTTTATAGGGAAGTCACTAGTTTCGTTAATTGTTATGACAAACACTGTGAACCAAGAACATAACAAGAATTACAACAGAAAGGTAAGCACGCTACACATAAAGAACACAAAGGTTTACATCGTTCAGCGTAAACCTATGTCCACGGTAAAGATTCGGCGAAAGATTTGACTATGCAAAAATCAGGAGATTACAAACTTCAGCCCCCAAACCCTAGCTCACTCTCTTTCTTGCAGTTTTCAGCGCTCTCGTGTCCCACTCCAACTCTAAACGCCCTTATATAATAGGTTACAAGAGCGTCCTAAATGGGGTCCAAATTATGTCCTTTGACACTATGATATAATTTATCTAAATCTGCGAACCATATGGAAGTCCTTTTGTTTACTCTTATATTCTCCTATAAGTCGTCTTATTAAGTATGTGTCTTCCATTGTGGATCTACCTGGCATAAATCCAAATTCGTTATCAGATATTATTGTTTCTTTCCTTAATCTTTGCTTTAATATTCTTTCCCACAAGAATGGGAAAATGAGTCCATATGCAATCAAGTCACTTAAAAAAAGTTAAATGGTGATTTATCAAAAAAAAAAAAAACGTTAAATGGTGGAAAAAATAAATTCAGGTCCCTATATGTTTCTTTTCCTTAAATTTTTATTTGGATTTCTTATTCCAGATTGATTTACCATTATGCAAGTTAGATATCTTTCTATAGTTGTTACCACAATGACTGTACTATTACACTCATCATCAACTTTTAGAATGAATTAATGGCTTGGTTCAATGGTAGTTGTTAAAGGCTCAAGGGGCCAAAGGCGCAGTATAAGGCGCGAGCCTGATTGAAGTAAGTTGCATGTATACAATAATTCATATTTCAACATATATTATTATATATATTCATAATCAGGTAGTAATTGCAGTTAATTTAAGTAGTGAACCATAAATTTATGAATTTTGTCAAATATTTCATTAGGTTAAACAATATGATATATGATATAGAACCTTTAATTAGTAGTCATTAAGTAAAAAATAAAATGATATGAGTAAATGATTAAAAAATACAAGCATCTGGTGTAGATACATAATCATGTCTCTTCTGTGAGCTTGATTGAAGGGGCCTGCCCTGTAGTAGGTTGAGGTGCTTTAGCTGAGCCGTGACGAGCCTGGGGCTTTTTTGGAGCCTAGGCGGGCCTTTAACAACTATGATGGTAAAAGCTTGGACTTCTAGTGAACTCACTCGAATATGAAGTCAATCACTTTGTGCAAATAATGCCAAATGTTTGGTCTTCACTCAATTCCTCCCTCCTAGCACTGCGTAGTGGCATTTTTTTTTATTAGCTTTTACAATGGTGTATTCTAGTAGACATATTAGGAGTGATTAATGTAGAAATTAGTAGATACTACGTCATTGGGTATGAGTTTTGTTATCGCTCATTATTGGCTGATATTGATCAAGTCATTAAAGTAATTTAAAATATTTTGTTCAGATGAACTTATACACTCAAAAGTTTCTATACCTTCTATTTTATTTTTCTAGCCTTTTTAATTCATACACTTCCCCTCACCAATTGGATTTACAATTTTGAAGGTAATGCATATCTTTTTTTCCATAGAGTTACCCTTCATAGAGTTCCCCTCACCAGGCAATGTAGCAAAATCTATTCTTTTTTTTTTTTTACCTTTTTTTCTTTTAGTTTAAACAAGCAAATGTGTATTTCCTGCCAGACATTTATAGTGGTTGGGCTAGCTGTGAGGTAGCAATACAAAAGTATTACTGATCGCAGCATGATGGAGGAGTTGATGTGGCAAAGCAAAGTAACGTCATTGTGGCAGCAGTGTGATTGTAGAGGGTGGTCGAAAAATCATGGAAACAATTTAGTTATAGTTATTGTTCGGCTCAGCAGTGTAATGACGAAACGTGAAGGTTCAGTGCCAGATAGATATAAGAGCAGATTTTGAGTCAGACTGTCGAGTAAACATTACATTTTACTATAGTTGTAGTTTGATTTTGTTAAAATTATTAAAGTTTGTTACACCCATATGGTTTGATTTATTGGTTCAGATGGTCGTGTAGCATCAATAGATTAGGCTTGTCCCTAGCAAAGTCAAATAATAACTTAAAAAGTATTTTGAGAAATATAACAGCTTGCAAAATGTCAAATTAGCATGCATCAATCAATTATTTATGAATAAGGCAACAACACTAAGATTGCACTAATGTGGAAAAAATATTAAATGATTCTCCAAATAAAATCATAAAATGCAGAAAATTTGCATTATGAATAATGCTAATGCATACCTCTTCTTTTATGGGAACACTCCTGTGGTCAGTGCGTTCTGACAATGACACCACTTCATCATCTGTTTTAGGAGAACCAACAATCACTGCAGAAAACTGTTGGCCAGCCTTGTCTTCCTTTGATCGAGTTCTAGTTGAAAATTTATGTCTAGATACATCAGAAGAAAAGACTTCTGAAGGATTCTCACCAAACGCTAGGTTGTTCGTGGGCTTGTTAACATCATTGTTCAATGCATAACAACCATCGGATAAAGGACCTTCAAGCATCGTGCCTACCGAATTTTCCTTTTTGGTATTCTGAGTATCAGTCTTGAGAACCTTAGCACCTCTGTCTTCATAAAATTCCAATGGTTTTGCATCACTTGAGTGTGTGGATGCTATTAATATAAATAAAGGAAAAAATTGGTGTCAACATGAGCATGTAATGAACGGCAAGAACCAGCCGTGATTAGTGTTTTTATCAACAATCGAAAATAAAATAATAGCAGTGCAACAAAAAATTACGTCACAGTTTTAGAGATGCACCCTAAGCATTACAAAATTCATAAAATCACCTTTTCTGAAAGCATGTTTAGACCTCCTTTTAGACTCTTCATCTTTATCAATAATCCTGGCCTTCTTCTTTCCACTTCGATCCTTGGATGTGCACAAGTCCTCCTTTTCGCGTTTACCCGAGTGTATCACAAAAGGATGAAGTAAGCTCCTCTCTTTCCTCATGCCAAGCTGTGGGCGCCTAACATCTAAACCCTCGTTCTCCCATTTCTTCATATTTTTTGAAGATGGCAACCTGTCACGGCCACCCTCGTCAACTTGTCTTTTCATGCCAACCAAAGCTGCAACAGGGGTAGCCAAGATATTCTCACCTTTGTCAACAGGATGCTCATTTTCTTCCTTAATATTTGCATCAATCTCCTGCTTCTTATCCCAGCAAGGAAACTCCGTGTATTGAAAATTGAACTTTTTCGGCACATACCCAGTACACTTCCACAGCTCCGGAGTGAAAACCGATGACAACCCGCCAAAGAGCGCAGGATCGCCACCAGGAATGCCTTGGACATGCACTCTTTCCTCAATGGGTATATCAGTCCAAAGCCTAAATGGACGGCGAGGTGGACCATTCCACGGATGTGGATTGTCCATCCTCAATGTTTTAGTGGGTAGCTCAACCAACAATTGAGCAACCTCGGTCTCCTCGCTATCATTCCTACTGTTCTTGGCCTTGCACTTATCGCAGGCGAACAATTTCTCGCCCTTGACGTAGCGCGAGCACCGTGTATGCACCCAAACGCCGCACTCGTCGCAGTTCACCATCTCCTCCCCATCGTCAAAATTCACACCGCATACACAATCCACAGTCCAAGATTCATCCACCCAGTCATCAGGAGGGTCCGAGGTCGGAAGACGGTGCGACCGGCTTTTCATAGCTTCCTTTTTGAAACCCTAAAAAGCCTCTATAATTCCCAATGTTTCAAAACCTAATTCCTTACCAAATTATCATATTACTGCATCAAAGTTCATAAAGCCTATAATTTTCAAGGTGTTGATTGTCGCTCAATTGGAGTTCCAAATTGAGGTATTAAAACGAATAATCAAGTAAGAAATTGAAGGGATATGTACCTGGAATCAGAGATCTTCGATATCTGTGATAAGAGTATATAGATGCAACCCTTTGGAGGCTCGGAGATATGCGTGTGTGCCCTTGCGATGCGTCTGTGAAAAAAGGTCGCCGGAAAGTGTTTTGTATTCGGTGAATGAGTGCAGAAAGCTGAAAGGGGGGGATTCAGTTCTCTTCGGACCAAACGTAAACGGCTTTCTCTTGGACGAAAGGGCGGAACCGAGGAAAGTCGTTTAATTTGAGTTATGAAATCATTGGCGTCCGAGTCGTTTGATTCGTGATTTCATGGCGCGCGTGGCTCGGGTCGGCTCCAATCGCAGCCAGTGGACAATCCGACAGCGACACGTCAAAGCATGCAGGGGTCCACGTCTTGTGACGGAAAAATAAAAAAACAATTAATTGCAGAAAATCCTTTTTTGCATTTAACTGCCTTGTACCAAAAACTTTGGAAGATAACCACATACTGTACTAAACCTAGTACATCAAAGTTGCAACATAACCCACCATTCACATTTTTTAATGTAAAAATTGACGATTTTCTGGTCACGTGGACATATTTTGATAGTAGTATTACTACGTAGTAGAAGCAATTAAAGGCTAATACAACAAATATATATACACACATATAAGTTTTACCCTCTTTTTCTTTTTCTTTTCCTTTTTTTTTTCCCAGCCTAGAAGTTTTTTTATCTTGTGGCTTCTCTATTTATTTTAATTTTTGTCATTTACTTTATACATATGTTATTTTACAACCACCTTACATTTTGTCTGCTCTAGTAGCTCTTAGAAAGATATTTCAATCATACAATATACTAGACATATTTATTCATTTAACCTATTCTACTGATTGTGTCATTAATATATTTTCCAATTTTTTCTTAATTATGAATAATTGAACTTAATGAATAAAAATATTCTTCTTTTTTACAAAAGTTGCCATTCATATATTCAATTTTCTTAAATCATTTAATTTTAGAACATCCATCCAAAATTTTAAAAATCAATCTTTAAATACTTGTAAATTAAAAATTAAAAGCAAAAGCAAAATGCAATCCTAGTGGCACATGTCATTTAAATGGGAATAAATATATTGCAATCGCAAATGCTATTGCCCTACTGGAAAAGCAGTTTCAATGAAGTGGGAACATTCCATCCCCTTGAATTCCGTGGTCCGCCACTATTATTTGTTGCTTTCCCTCGATTTCCATTTTTGAGATATCAACTGTGACAATAAGTTTTATAAATTACAACTCCAATATGATCAAAACTCTCATTCGAAAGAAGAGCGATGATTAATCAGATTGTGCTTGTGTTAATTAGAGTATTTTCAGCAATTTGTTAAAATATTATTTTGTGTAAAATATATATTGATGTATAATTTTTTTATTTTCAACAGTCTGTTAAACTACACTATCAAAACATCAATGTGTAAAATTATTGTGTATTTTACATAATATTTTTATGCAACCACATCATATTTACTTTCTCCTTTCTAATTCTCATTCCAATAATGAATCAACCCTATATTAAATAGGTTTATTAAAATTATGTGGAGTCGAAACATGACACCGATTAATTGTTATTTTTTACACAAAAAGTGTAAAACAATCACTGAACCTAAAAATAAATAATCTAAAATTTTTGTATAGATCTATCATGACACATCAAATTTACATAAATATATAAATATATAGGACTTTTCACCTGCTCACTGATGTGTAGAGAATTTATACACGAATTAAATCATCACCGTTAGATATAAAAACATAAACTACCTTTTTAACTACCAAATAAAATCTGACGGTTATTACTTCAGGTGTGCATGTGCACACCAAAAAGTAAGAGAATAATTATATATATATATATATATATATATATATATATATATAACCATGGTCCTAATCATGTAAAAATAGAAATAAAAATAAAATTAAAAAACTACAAATTGGTTAAAGCTCTGACCCACAAAATTACCCAACGACCCTTGCTGGAGTGTGATTCTATATAAACCTGTAGTTGATTTGCATTATTTCTCGTAATCAATTACACCATACAATTTGCGGGTTTTTTGACTTTAAAGTGGGAAAGCTCTAAATGTTTGAGTATGAAAATCTGGAGTGGGGAGATAGATTCTCCAACTTCACTTTAGCATGGTGGGTCCCAATCATGACAAAGAGAAAGCAAAAGGTAGACAATGTTCCGGTCTCTGTTCAAACTAGTTGATCCAGATATGACCTAAGAAAACATAAACAAACGGCTATGATTATTCGGCCAATGGGCCCCAGTGAATCATCATACGCAAGTGGGTCCCAAATATACTAATCTCCATTCCCTTTCGTTTTTCCTTTTTGTTTTTCTGAGCTGGTCGTTACTAGTAAAAGCTCTAAAGAAAATCCCACCGACGAACACTACTTCATTAATCTCACTTTCCCTCTCTTTTATTTCCCTCCACCGCCACCACTACCATCAACAAGTGCTTATTTATGTGTGGGAGGAACTTCTTCTACAAAGGGGTTTCATCCATTGTAGAAGAAATTAATTAATTTAATGGGAAATTGCTTGTTTGGAGGAACAGGAGAGCCCAATGATGTGATCAAAGTAGTAACTTCCAATGGTGGAACCATGGAGTTTTACGCCCCGATAACCGTGGAGTGCATCACCGATGAGTTCCCGGGCCATGGGATATTCCGGAGCCATGACCTCTTCTGGAAGCCACTTCCTCACCAGGAAGTGCTTCTTGCAGGAGAGTCTTACTATCTCCTCCCACTCAACAATAAGAAGACAGGTATAGGTGGTGGCCAAATTGCTCAGGTAGGGCATGTGAGATCAAACAGTGTGCCTAGTGCACTTGTTGCGCCGTATAGGATGTCGTTTGACAGTCACGGGATACTGAAAAGGTCTTACACGGAAGTGCTTTCCAGGTACAACAATGGTGGGTTTTGGAAGGTGAAGCTGGTCATCAGTCCTGAACAGTTGTTGGAGATACTTTCGCGAGATGATCGAACGCAGGAGTTGATTGAGAGTGTGAGAACTGTGGCGAAATGCGGAAATGGAGTCTCATCTGTGGGGGCTTTTTCAGACCAGTGGAGTCTGTCCAGCAGTGGTAGGGGTAATGCTTCCTCAAAGAAAGATATTGGCTTAATAGAGATTTAGAGAAAAATATCAGTCTTTTTTTTTTTTTCTTTTTCCTTTTTTTTCTTTTTCTTTTTTATGTGTGCTGTAAGATTATATGTCAATGTTATCTATATGTATGTGGGATTGTATTGCATTGTGTGATGCAAGTTTCAAACTCTTTTTGACCAAAAATATAATAGATGGCTCCCGTACTATTGAGCAATGCCATTTCAGTATAGATGCAATTAATTAATTAACCCTTTTAGTCATGAATGATGAAATATCAAGACTTGAATTTGAGATCTTGATAAACTATTGTACCATAAAATGTCCAATATTATTTTCTTGTTCGACATTTTATGGCGGCTCGCTAACCTTCCAGATATATTTCTAAATAGGTATTCGTGAACATACTGTTTGAACTTGAGTTTGACAAATACTCCATTGTTTGGGTCAAGAACAAACACTTATATTTTGAGTTCAACTTGAGATTGAGCTCGACTATCTACTAATTGATTGAGCCAAGCTTTTGGCTAATTGAGCCAAACTCGAAAGCTAAAAACAGGCCTTGGCTTAATTGCACTGGAACAAAACTAGCTGTAAGTTTCTCTTCCAGGTTCAATAGTTCCGAGTAACAAACTAACAACTAATTTGCTTGGTGCAACAATCACGAAAACCTCACTTTAACTCTGAGAAGGTATTTTGTGTTGAATAAAAATGCATTCCCTCCTTGCATTGGCCTAAATGGAAGTTGAGGTCGAGTTTATCGGACAAAACGTATAAAATAATTTGTCAAAAATGGATGGATGAATTACTTTTATTAGATTTTAATTTTTTTTTTCTTCGTAAATATTTTACGACAACCAAACACCAAAAAATAAAAAGATATATATATATATTTTTTTTTAAGTATTTTACATCCAAACAAATCAGCCTTACTTTCATTTTTTTCCCGAAAAGTTAAAATATAGTGCACACACTTACAATGTGCCCCTAACAAGGTTCAAACACTCATGCTGTGTTTGGTGTGCAGGAATGTAATAGAATGTAAGTGAGAATTGAATAGAATGGTCATTCTCATTCTATTATGTGGTTGCAAATATGAAATGTTTTAGAATTGAATGATAATAACCATTCTAGTGTTTGGTTTGACCAATTTAGAGTAAAATTTAGAATGAAATGAATTTCAAATTGAATTCTTCAAAATACCCCTTATTGATAAATAAATTAAATTAACAGAATAACATTTTTCTATAACTTTTTTTGAAAAATGGTGGAAGTGGTGGATGGTGCTGATGATGGTGGTGGAAGTGGAAAGAAATAGTGGTATAGATGATGGTGTTAGAAGACAGCGGCGGTGACGGCGATGGAAGGCAACGATGGTGGCAGTAGTGTGGTGGTGGTGGTGGTGGAAGGAGATAGTGGTATAGGTGGTGGTAGTGAAAGGTGGCAATGAATGTGGCAGTGGTGGTGGTGGTGGTAGTGGTAGTGGTGGTGGTGGTGGTGAAAGTTGGTGGCGGTGGTGGAATGTGTAAAGTAGTGGCTGTGGAAAGCGGTGGTGGAATGTGTAAGGCAATGGCTGTGGAAAGCGGTGGTGAAAGTCGATAACAGTGGCAGGGGCAGTAATGGAAGTCAGTGGCGGTGGCAGTGGAAGTGGCAAAAGTGAGGGAGGTTACAGAGACGGTGAAAGGTTGTGGAGGCGATGACAATGGTGTAGGTGGTAGTGGTGAAAGGTGGTGGCGACGATGGAGGCGGTAATGGTGATAGGCAAGGGCGGAGCCAGGAATTTTAGTTTGGGGGGGCCGAATTTATACTATGTAATTAAAATTTATTTTTAAAATAAATTGAAATATAATTTTGCATATAGTATATATTCATAATATATATACCCCAAGAATAAAGATGAAAAAAAAAAATGCAACCTTAATAAACAGAAGAAAAAAAAATTTGATATAAGAAAGAAATATATAGAGGAGTAAACGATAATTTTTAAGTAAAAAATGGAGAGATAAAGAGAGAGCATTGTTAAAGAATCAAATTTTCTTCGACAATTATTTAATTATTCAAAAAGTCATTTTGGATTTTACTTTTGAAAAAATATATCATTATTATCTTCACGAAAGATTGAGAAAAATAATAATTTTATCTAAATAAAATTACACAAGTTCTATAACCTATGGTAACTTAAACAAAAAATTAATTGCCATACAATTTGTCATTTAGCAAGTGACAATTACAAGTATTAAAATATATGATATCATTATTACCGTTGGCATTTTGCCATTTAGGTTTCACAACATTTTAGCTTTTCCTCCTTTCTAATGAATCCAAAACTTGCAAATGGTGATTAGTATATAATTTTAGATATTTTAATTGTAAAAACCGTAAGGCTCCGTTTTTTTTAACGTAAAATATTTTTCAAAAAATATTTTTTATTTTTTGGTATTTGGTTGTCGTAAAATATTTACGAAGAAAACAAATATTAAAATTTAACAAAAATAATTTATCCATTAATTTTCGGCAAGTTATTTTACATGCCCCGCCCGATGAACTCGACCTCAATCTCAATGTAGACCTCTGCCTAACACCCACAAAGTAAAAAGAAAATAATGTTTTACCTAAAAAACTAAAATATTTTTCAAAAAGAATATTTTACATTGAAACAAACGGAGCTTAAAATGTTTTTTCTTTTTTGGAAGGTATGTTTCACAAGATTTAAGTTTTCAAGAGTATGACTAAAATGGTCAAAGTTAAAATTTTATATCAGTTTCAAAAAGATGCAAGTTAAATTAATTTTCAAACTCTATATTTTGAGGCTAATATTTTAGGGGGGGATATACAAGTGTTTTGAAAAAAGTTTTTTTTTGGGGGAGGGGGGAATGAATTAAATTGTCAGTAAATGTTAGGACTCCGATTTAAAATTTATTTATAAATTAACTATTTTTTGGGGATATAATAAAAAAATTTAAAAACTTTTGGGGGGGCCACGACCACCCCTAGCCCCTCTTGGCTCCACCCCTGGTGACAAGGGTGGTGGCAATGACAATGGCATGTGGTCAAAGGTGTTAGTGGTAAAAGGTGGAGGCATTGGTGGAATTCTATGGTGGTAGAAGTGGTAGCGGTGGAAGGTAATGGAAGCGGCGATGGTGTGGCTATGGAGTTTTATGCCCCGATAACCGTGGAGTGCATCACCAATGAGTTCCCAGGCCACGGGATGTTCTGGAGCCACGACCTCTTCTAGAAGCCACTTCCTCACCAAGAAGTGCTTCTTGTAGGAAAGTCTTACTATCGCTTCCTACTAAACAACAGGAAGACAGGTATAGGTGGTGGCTAAATTGCTCAAGTAGGGCATGTGAGATCAAACAGTGTGCCCAGTGCACTTATTGCGCTGTATAGGATGTCGTTTGACTGTCACGGGATACTGAAAAGGTTTTTCACGGAAGTGCTTTCGAGGTACAACAATGGTGGGTTTTGGAAAGTAAAGCGGGTCATCAGTCTTGAACAGTTGTTGGAGATACTTTTGAAAAATGATTGAATACAAGAGTTAATTGAGAGTGTGAGAATTGTGGCGAAATGCAGAAATAGAGTCTCATCTGTGGAGACTTTTTCAGACCAGTGGAGTCTGTCCAGTAATGGTAGGGGTAATGCTTCCTCAAAGAAAGATATTATATTATATGTTAATGTTATCTATATGTATGTAGGATTGTATTGCATTGTGTGATGCAAGTTTCAAACTCTTTTTGAGCAACATATATTAATAGATGGCTCCTGTAATATTGTTGACCAGTGCCATTTCAGTATATATTGATACAATTAATTAATCAACCTTAATTTAGTCATGAATGATGAAATATGAAGACCTGAATTTGAGGTCTTGATAAACTATTGTGCAATAAAATGTCCATTATTTTCATGTTCGACATTTTATGGCGACTTGTTAGCCTTCCAGATATACTTCTAAATAGGTATTCGTGAACATACTGTTTGAACTTGAGTTTGACAAATACTCCATTGTTTGGGTCGAGAACAAACACTTTTATTTTGAGTTCAACTTGAGATTGAGCTCGAGGATTTGCTAATTGAATAAGCCAAGCTTTTGGCTAATTGAGCCAAACTTGAAAGCTAAAAACACGCCTTGGCTTAATTGCGCTAGAACAAAATTGTAGTTTTCTCTTCAAGGTTCAATGGTTGTGAGTAAACAAACTAACAACTATTTACTTGGTGCAACAATCGAGAACCCGACTTTAACTATGAGAAAGTAGTCATTTTGTGTGAAATAAAAATGCATTCGTTGTTTGCAAAGACCTAGATCAAAGTTGCGGTGGAGTTTATCGGGCTGAGATGTATAAAATAACTTACCAAAAATGGATGGATGAACTAATTTTGTTAGATTTTTTTATTTCTTTTATTTCTTTTTTGTTCGTAAATATTTTACGACAACCAAACACCAAAAAATTATTTATTTATTTATTTATTTATTTATTTATTTTTAAGTATTTTACATCCAAACGAACCAGTCTTACTTTTATTTTTTCCCCTAATGTTAAAGCATAGTGCACACACTTACAACATGCCTCTAACAAGGTTCAAACACTCATGTTGTGTTTGGTGTGCAGGAATGAAATATAATGTAAGTGAGAATGGAATAGAATGATCATTCTAATTCTATTATTTTGTTGCAAATATGAAATGTCTTGGAATTGATCGAATGATAATAACCATTCTAGCGTTTGATTATACCAATTTAGAATGGAATGAATTTCAAATTGAATTCTCCAAAATATCCCTTATTAATAAATAAATTAAATTAACAAAATAACATTTTTCTATAACTTTTTTTGAAAAATGGTTGAAGTGGTGGATGGCGATGACGATGGTGGTGGAAGTGGAAATAAATAGTGGTATAGGTGGTGGTATTGGAAGGCGGCTGTGGTGGAAGGCAACGACGATGGCAATAGTGCGGTGGTGAAAGGAAATAGTGGTATAGGTGGTGGTTATGATATTTCTCGATTTTTTATTTTCGGATTTTATTTATTTTTTGCCTCGTTTTGCGTGCCACGCACCAGTTAGCATGCCACGTATGTTTCGAGAGTGATTTAGGATATTTTTTTTGAGTTTTGGACTCTTAGAAATGTATTTGGGGTCATTTTAGCA